GCTCACTTTCAGGCGTATATCTGTGGTGAGCTGTGGTCTCAGACAGTCATTGAAGCTCACCTTTCTCACCGTTCTTTGAAAATGGCATAGGGTCGTAAGAGAAAAAGTGTCTAGGAAGTGTATGAGGAGAAAAGAAAAGCCTCAGAAAAGGCAGATATATTCTGGAATGCTTTGTACGGAGAGCTTTCCTTGCAGAGCATTATGGGATTTGGTGTCAAAGTCGCCCTCTGTCGGCAAAGGCTGTTGCTACTCAACAGCCGTGAATTATAACAAAGATGGCCGGGCACTGCACAGTGGAGGAGGAGTTACAGGACCAACCGGAGCAAGAAGCAGTGATCATTTGTCCAAACGGTCAGTTACCTTAGTTCGCTATAAAGTCCATTATATAATCCCTGCCCTATATAGTGACTGAGGGATTTAGGGTTTAGGGACATTATGACACACTAAGCTTGTATGAGCTACGAGAACAACAACTTTTAAACAGAGCGTGCACAAGGAGAAATGGACTTGTGCATGCTCCCGCACATGTATTTATTTATTTATTTTTTTTAATGGAGAGGCCGGGTCTTTTAAAAAATTAACTTAAATCCTCCACAATAGTTTAAGGAAACTGTTGTGACTATTTAAGTTTGAACTAAATGCATAAACATTTTATTTATTTAGCGTCTATGCTGTTATCAGTTAATATATCTTTATTTGCATTCACCAGTTTCCAGAGGAAATGATAAATAATGCCACAGGTTATTAAGATAAATGTCATTACAGTTTAATGGTGAATATTTAGGAAGCAGATAAAAAACTGGGGGAAAAAATGTGTTGATGCAAACACATTTATCAAGATAAACAAAATGGATTGAATTAATGAATTACATATCTTCACAACTCACTTTAGATTTACAGCACATGCTACTGTCAGAAAATCAATGTTTAAAAGATAAAAGGTAAGAAATGATGGATAAATAAAAGCAGAAAGAAAACGAATGAATGAAAGTAATGAATATAACAAATACAAATATTAGTAAAAAATTGGACAAAGTGGAAAGAATTTTTTTAACAATAAGTGTCTATAGGCGATCTAAGCAAATACAGTTAGCTTAAGTGGGGTAATTCTTTTCAAAATTCACAAATTAAAAAACTTTTATTCTTATTTTGAAGTGCTAATCTTATTGCATAAGTGTTTGAAACCAAAAAGTATGTCAGAAATAACTCTTCATTATAACAAGACTTAAAAAAATGTCTTATATTTCCAACTACACCAAAATCAGTAGCGTATTCGTTCACTTCCTAACTGCAGTTTTCATCACTTTTATTTGGTGGAGTTTGCGGCTTATATCTCATAGTGTTTTCTTTCACTGCAGTCCCTCATCTGCTTGATCATCAGATAGAAAGCAGCGTAATGCTTTGCTGTTATTCTCCCTGGGGAGGTAGGCTAAGTGCACAACAGTCTCTCCTCTCTGTGTCTTACCATCACACTGACATTTACTTATCAGGCTTTTCAGTGTTTTTAAAGATGTGACAGTAGTGAACATACATTTTTTTTCTTTTTTTTTTGTACATCATGGAGATGAGAAAAGAGACTAAAAATGGAAGCAGAAGATAAAAAACATTAACTCTGTAATAAACATATTTAGGATCAAACATAATTTATTATTGCTTGTTCGTTTGTTAAAAAGCAGGTCAGCTACTGAACAGGAAATGCTTTTACTGCAGTGTATCATATTATATGATAATATTTTAATAATATTTAACATTGTTTGTGTTTATAGGGTTAGGTGCTGGAGAAGAAAAGAAGTAGTTTTCATTTTAATTCATCTTTTAAGCATCTAAAGTCACATAAGTGAACACTAATGTGCTTGGAGGAAGAAGGATGGCCAGTAAACATCTTATGGAATAAAAAGCTTCAAATTCTTATCAAATATTCTCCAAACAGACAGATCAGAAGACCTGATGTCATTCCTGAACATGAAAAAAAAATTTTTTTTATAATTTCTGCATCCTCTGAACTCAGTTGTTAAATTATAAAGAAGTTGGTAATGTGAGTGAGGAGGCACCACATCGCAATGAGATTTGTGTTCAGTTCTTTTGCATTTCAAATGATCTCCCCCCTTTGGCCTACATCTGACAGTGTTTGGTAAAGATATAGCATCTGATTCCCAGTGGGGCCCCCCCATGCATAAAACACGTTTCCTCCCCCTGTCGAAGAAGCTTGGAGAACACCAAATGCCATGTTTTTAAGCCTTGTGGGCACATCTGCTCTCCTAAAAGAACAACAACAAAAAAAAGAGAAATAATTGGAAGGAAGTTTTAAAAACTGTAATGACTCACTTCTTAAATTTACTGTGAGATTTAATGGCACCCTCCACACTGATTGGCAGCCGCTGTACAGATGAGTTAAAAGGATTAAGGTGACGTTTTACTGCAGTAATATAATAGAAAAAATAATGCAGAGATATAGTGATGGTTTGTCTGGACACAGCTGCATGTAGTGGATGAGGTGAGCTAAACCCTTTTTTTCACTTGGCAAGATAGTAGCCATCCTCCTGTGGGGGTGGTGGATGTGCTGTGGCGAGGGTTGGTGAAGGGGGGTATCCTGGAGGCTTTGCTTCTTCAACTAGCTAGGACTCCAGAGGATGGTGAGGCACGGGTTCTGCTTGGTTGCATCCTTCTGCTCTAGCTGGTATTGAGAAATAATGTGGGTCTATTCTTGGGTCCCTGCAGGCCATGACTTGTTCAAGGGGCACTGGTTTTCTCCAAGACGTAAGGACTTTGGTAATGTTTTAGGCCTTGGGTGGGATTACAATTGCATTGATGGAGATTTCGGGGAGATAGTTTGAGGGAAGATATCCTCTGTTGAGTCGTCTGTGAAAGGGCGCTGCACTGCAGGAGAGTTTTTAGCTCAGATGGAGTAGGGGTCGACTCTTGTGGCTACTGTTGCACCAATGCCATTTTTTGGCCCAGAAACCGATACCCGATACCTGGCTGTGCAGTATTGGCCGCTACCGATACCATCTGTTTAAATTGATATGTGTGTGTATATGAAGAACTGCATACTACTTGGATGTAAAATAATTGCCATCATGGCTTTATCAAGCTGCTGCCTACCTTTGTGAAGCAGGTAAAAGACTAATACAAAGTGAATCCAGTAGAACTTGTTATTGCCTACCTGGAATGGGTGACAAAAGTTGAATAAACTTTTGGTACTCGCTGATAACGATACCATAATTTTAGCGTTGGATCGGGGCAACACTACTTGTGGTTACTGGTTTGTGGGCTTTGCCAGCTCTGCGACCCTTCCTGTGTCATGTGCAGGTTAGCCTGTACATGTGGGAACCTTCATTGCTTAAAGAAAACAATGTGAATCAATATTTCAATATTTTTGCATCAATTTTATTGGACAATCTAAGCGATGCATAGATGTATTTTCACACACTGTTGTAAACCATCCTGTTTTGTTCTGAGTTTGGAGGAACGTTTTAGTAAATAAAGAAAAAAAAACAGGCATTTGCCTTGTTTACCTTCAAATCTTCTCTACTTTAATCAGTTTTGCATGAAGCTTTAATAAAGAGGCTCATAAAAAGGTTTAGGACTTCATTTTTTCATGAACGTTATTTTAACACTTAAACTTAAGCTGTACGTGATTGCACGGAGGCGGCATGAGCTGATGATTATTCATTGGTGAAGTTATTTTCATCCCTCTGTTTTCAGCTGTCAAAGGAATAAATGGAAGAGGGGACTCATCCTGTCCCTCCATGTTTTTAATGAACATCAGAGAGATTTTATTTTTAGCAAAGCTATTGTAAAATAGCTCTGGTGTTCACATTTAGAAGCGCTGCGATCATAATGGTGGAGAAGTACCTTTTGTATTTAGAAGTTTGGCTGTTAGTCATAATATTGTGGGTTTTTAAAACTAAACATTAAACTGATAATAACTTAATGGCTATTTCATTATATCCTCCTTCTGTTATTTAAACTAGCTGGGGTTAAATAGGAGTTAGGAGCTGTGTGATGTTGTGTAACACCAGTGTTTAATTATTGGCTGTAAACAGCTTTTTTCCCTGAGGTGACAGAGCATCCATTTCTTCTCCCTTGGTTATTCCAGTTGCTAAAGGGTGTACTCAGGTAACAGTTGGTGTATTTTAGTTCCTTTTTACAAGTAGAGGTTAATAGTTCAAAAAAAATATTTAAATAACAGTAAAAATGGATTTGGTAAAAATGGGATTTGAATCCCAACTACACAAGATATTCGATTTAATCTGTGGAAATGATGGAATCAGACAGAAAAATACTAAATTATATAGTTTCTTGTCTTTTAGAGATCGTAATAAAACATTTTATGTACAGGAAAATCATATTCAGATATATTATAATGGACTTAAGAAATGATGATCAGCTCAGAATGCACATATATAGAACACAGACAAATTAAAAACTATTTATAGAGAAATTTGCGTGCTTGAAAGTCTACAGGAAGCACTTAAAAGTGAGAGATGTAAAAATATTTAAATTATAAGGTATGTCAGGAGGAAATTTAAACACTTCACTAACAGGGGAGCTTTTGTACATTGAAGTATATTTTAACCAGAAATGCTCCAGGTACCAAATGTTGGGTTAAACACCCCTGTTCTTGGTTCTGCAAAGCAATTAAATCTGGCCAAAGTACCCAGAAATCATACTCAATAAAGAGTAGAAATTCTTCAAAATATTATAGCTCATAAAGGGTGCAGCAAATCTACTCTTAGTGGTAGATTTTTTCAAGAACTTCCTCACATTATTGCAGCTGAGTAAATGAAACCTCTCCATCCAGTACTTTATGCTTATTCGAGTGAGATTTTATGTTTTTTCTCCAGTGAATTTCATCAGTTTTTGGAACATTGCAAGAACTCTTAATTAATTAAAAGACACCCAGGCTGTAGAGACTACAGAAATCATTAACAGTTGTGGAATTCTTTCATGCAGCATAAGCAAGCATATATTGTTTTCTTTTTTTTAATTTGTTGCAGGGTGAAGTGCGCGATGGCTAATGCCTCTCCAGACCTGGACAATGCAGAAGCTCAGCGCCAGCTCAATAACAACAACCGACCAATCAGCTCTGGGTTCTGGGAGACTGAGTGTACAAGCTCCAAATTGTTTGAGTGTTCCCGCATCAAGGCTCTGGCAGGTCAGGGGTCAAACACACACATCAGTGTACATCCATGCAAGGACAGACTGCAAAAACAGAGAAACTGTTTCTGTATACAAACCTGCTTATAATATACGTGTGAGATTCCTCTCCCTGTTGATCAAGCTTTTCCCCCCTTATCTCAAAAGGAAAATGCTCATTTTAGTCACCTGTATCGAGTATCTTGTTCTTTCGGTCATCATTCAGATTTCATGACCATATTTGAGGGTAGGAACATAGACTGATGATAAATCTAGAGCTTGCCTTTTGTAATGTAATGATATGTTATATGTATTTTCTTTTTATTATTGTGGGCTCCATAGTGGCACAGTTTGTAGCACTGTTGCCTTGCAGCAAGAAGGTATTGGGTTTGATTCCCGGCTCTAGGCCCCAAGTTTGCATGTTCTCCCCATGCATGCATGAGTTCTCTCTGGGTACTCCGGCTTCCTTCCACATCCAATTTACCTGACAGGTTAATTGGCATCTCTAAATTTTCCTTAGCTGTAAGTGTGTGACATGGACTGCCAGAGATAGGCCCCGGCCCCAACGTGTACCTGATTGGATACGTGGGAGTGGATGGTTTACTACTGTCAAGATTATAATTTAATTGAAATCAAGACTTGTTTGAGAACAACTGTTTCTACTAAATATCAAAATACTTCCTTCCCAGCGTTTACCCAATATCTTCTCTCATTCATTAGATGAAAGAGATGCAGTGCAGAAAAAAACCTTCACAAAGTGGGTCAACTCCCACCTAGCCAGAGTGTCCTGTCGAATATCTGACCTCTACAACGACCTGAGGGATGGCTATATGCTCACCAGACTGCTGGAGGTTCTTAGTGGGGAGCTCCTGGTAAGAAGACAAACAATAACTTAAACAGTCATGCTGAACCTTTTTGGTCTTTCTTTAAAAGAGGTTAAATTCATTGTATTAACACCAGCTTTGGTATGCCATTAGTCAGGGCGCTGTCCGTGGTGCTGATAGTTATGTTAAGGTTCAGCAGGTGATAAATCTCTCTTTTCCTCCATCAGCCGAGACCGACTAGGGGTCGTATGCGGATCCACTGCCTGGAGAATGTCGACAAAGCGTTGCAGTTCCTGAAGGAGCAGAGGGTTCATCTAGAAAATGTTGGTTCCCATGACATAGTAGATGGAAACCATCGCCTCACGCTGGGCCTTATCTGGACTATCATCCTCCGTTTTCAGGTAACTTTTCTACTCAGTATAGCAGTATGCCCTTAACATTCACAAAGCTGCTCTATAGTTAAAGAATAAAAGTCAGGAAAGTCATAGTTGGCATGATTGATCAATGGTACATCTAGAATTAGGGTAAGAATGGGTGAGGTGGAAGTTCATTATAAAACTGAAGGTGTTTTAACTACTGGAGGACCACTCATTTTATTTTTCCCAGTAATCCTTACTCGTGAGCGTTGAGGAGGATATTCCAGTTGCCATTTTTCCAGGTCATGGAAGTTAAGATCAGACCGTTATCACCCGATTGATGCTGCAAAAAGATAGTACTAGAGTTTGATTACCCATTCCACTTATATTCAATTGGTTTTGAAGAATCATAATAATGACTCTGTCCATCAAGATATTATGTGGAACTACAGAAAAATGGAAATCCATGGTTACTTTTTTTAGAATAATTTAGTAAAATCACACCAATATCCAACAAATCTGTTGGACTTCACATTGGACGTAGAAGAAGTTAATAGCTGGTTAAATTTACCCAGCTACATTTATTTAAGTCACATTTTGAATAGAAAAATACTATTAGGAGTAGATTTGCTGTACTCTACTTGCTTTTTACCTTTACTAGAATGACATTTTTGTGGAACATCACCTCTTCTTCTTCCTCTTCTTTTGTAAAATTTATTTCAACTCTGTCTGCTGTGAGTTAATTGAGCTTTTAGAGATCAGTTAAATAGTAGATATTGTCAATGGAAGTTCGTTCCCCTGACCTGACAGAGTACAGAGTTCTCACTGTTAGGATTTATTCCATGTTGAAAAATAGCATTTGGAGAACTACTTCTTCTGCATGATTTTTTATTTTTATTTTGTAAACATGTTATTTGTATTTCTAAGTATTTTAATCTTCAAAATACCAAAATAACCAATAATAACTCAGTACTTGAGTCGCCTATTTACCAAAGACTTTTTACTGGAGCGATTTCTTGAATGGCTAATACTTACTTTGACCTCAGTAAACAAAATGTTGAAGTCGTCGTTTTCTTACTTGAGTACCATTTTTAGGATCCTCCACCCACCTCTGATTAGAAGGTCTTTCTTATTTATTTTGTTTGATGGGTTCATTGAAAGGATCTCATTAAGAAAAATTAGACAGGATTCTTTTTTCCATCCTTGGGATGTTGCTTTTTAGAACTAACGTGTTTTTTTTGGCATCTGAGTTGATATCCAGATGCCAACTGGAACAATTCTCAGCCGAGTGCATCAGCTACTAACAAGAACCCCAAACAAAAGCAAATGCTTGTGAGTTATTAGTCCATCTGTTTTCCAGTCTGATCTAAAGAATCTGTTGCCGATGGGTTAGGAGGAAAGGTTCCTCCTGTAACCTTTAGGGTCCTGTTTGTGTTTTTTTCTTCATCGTTGTTAGATCACCTTGCTTGTTAGTGGGTGAAGGGACCACATATCCTTACTATCCTTGGAAAATTAGCAATTTGATGATTTGATCTTTGGTAAGGAGAATAAATAGGTGACTGGCTATATTTATTCATGGATTTGATTTAGACAAGCAGTGGCACCTCCAGAAATGTTTCATAGGGGTAGATACTGTAGGACCACTAAATATCTTGGGGTGGCACACTGAAGCTAAAATCCATCATTTCAGGGTTGGAATCCACTATTGTGGTAAACCTGACTTAAGTAAACACCTACTCATGTCTTGGTATTTTTTTAATGTTACTTCACTGGTTGTGCATAATGGGATGAAATGCTAAAATGATGCTACTACAGTTTACACTGGCCAGTGAGGTGGCCAGTGGGGTGGGAAAGGGAAAGAGGGGGTCATTACTGTAGAGTTGTACAAGCTCTATGTTTTTAGTGCTGGAAAAGTTTATATCATTGGGTATGTTTCACCTTACTCTTCTAAGTAAATGCAGCCATTCATAACCCGTTAGGATCCTACTTATATTATTGCAAGTACATGAATAATTGAGATCCTGTTGACTTTTAGATGAGCACAGAGGAAAAAGATCATATAGAATGTCTGGGTGGCGATCTTGAATACTTTGCAGTTTTGCATTTAGGTTCAGTTACAGGAACTTTGAGTCTGGCTGCTGTGAGATGCTTTTATATTCTCAGCAACGGCATTATTTACAAATAGCTCTGAAGGGCTCAGATTTGGGAAAGCTCCACAGCTGCTGTGTCATCTTTGTGCGACAGTGACAGCCATGTTTTTCTGGTACAGCCTGAATGTCAGTCAGGAGCCCAGAGCTACTGCAGCAGTCGCCTTCTGGTTTGCTCTTTGACAACAACACATCATTAAACCCACCGACATGGATTCTTCCATGCAATGTCTGTCCCTCAGACACATCTACAGCCTTGCAAATTTTTCTTGCTACCTTGTAGCAGTGTTTCAGGATCGGTTCGGCTCATGTAAGTACAACAAACCTACCGCTTCTCATACATTTCCTTCCCTGCTATAGTGTAGCATTAGTGCACATTGCTTACATAGCAATATTCAGCCGTTTTTGTAGGTTTCACAGGGCAGAGACCATCTCTGGGGACACAATGTTGCTTTAAGGCTACTTGCTACCAAGCACATCAAAAAAGTGTGGCTGAAAGAATTATTGTGTAATATGTGTTACCGCTTTGACCCAGAGAGCTAAGAAAAACTGATGAATGGTCTGTTTCGGCTGTAAGGCTGTAAGTGATGCATCGGTGAGGTTGAAAATGACCCTTACTGAAACATTTTAGGTAAAAAATAATCTTTAAACAATCCTCTATACCTGCCATGTCTGCAGGGCCACAAGGGGAAGGGTTGGGGGTGAGGCTGATACCGATCCCTAACCTGAAACAGATCGCCAGCCCATCAGAGTCTCACAAGACTGGCCACCATATATTTACAGTCTCATACGTGAGAGGGATTAAGAGCAACCGTTTAAAACGGCAAATGAATGGAGAGAGAGCATTTGGGTGTAAAAAGAGCCCAGGCCAATATTAGCTGTAACCGACGGCTGAACAAGCGCTTTATCTTCTGAGAATTTCAAATAAAATAAAATGAATGTTCTGTTTTTATGCTTTCCTATCTAAGGTTTCATTGGAAGCAATGAGCCTATACTGACTGATCCATTAATGCAGTAAATATCCCCTCTCAGCTGAGATGTTGGCAGTAATTACATATATTAATACAAAAGAAAATACTAAATATTCATAAAGAATTTGCTCAAAAAGAGAGATAGGAAGACTAGATTTCAGTTTTCCATCTGTTTTTTTTCTTGCTGCACTTCTCCTCATCTCCACCTCTTTTCTCCGTTCCCTCCTGCCTCTGAGGTGAAACTGAGAGTTTGCTTTGCCAGGTCAGCAGATAGGGCCGAAGCACTGCAGTGACTGCACAGGCAGGGTGAGGGTGAGACAAAGGGAGAGGGGGGAGGACTGAGAGAAAAGGAAGGAGTCAACCTGAAATATAAAAATAAAAAAAAATAATAATAAATAACAGGCTGTTATTATTTCCAATAAATTTACTGATGATGTTGCAAAGGGCTGGTTAGGTCATATTTTATTTCTTTAGGCAGAAATGTGCTTTAGTAATCTAACAAACCCTCACGTCTTTTAAAAGTTAATTGAAATGCTAAAGAGATTCTAGTTATGAGAGCACACACATAAAAATAAACCATAACTGGAATTATAATTAAAATAATTTGATTATAATTTAGAAAAATTTGATTAGAATTTAGAAAACTGATGATTTGAACTAAACTTAGAAAAAAGCTTGTGTTTATACATATTCCCTTTATGTGACCCATTCTTTTTGTCACTTTTTGTTTATGTGTCCATTGATGTAAATATATGGGTTTGTTGCACAGAGGCAGCAGCTGGTTTCTGGGTGTCATTAAGGGTGTCATGTTGCTGATTACCTTGCATCATGTCTCTATCAAATGATTTGTTGAATGGTTCTGACGGTCTTTCTACACATTATCCTGTCTTTGTTGTTCTTCTCAGAGAGACATGGTGCAGTGCTTTAAAAAGCTTAATAAAACCCAATGAGCACTGAGTCCATCTGGTTGTATTAAATCAAGAACAGTTTCTTTAATTTAGCTTTTAAACTTCAATTTTTACATATTTTTATGTATTGTTAATCAAACCTTTTTTACTTAAGCAAAAGATTGCAGTTCTCTTAAAATTCAATAGTTAGTTGTAAAGCGTTTACATTTTTTAATGGATTTTTTTCTAATCCAGACACAGATCACATGAGACCAGGAAGATTATAGAGAGCTGAGGTTACCAGAGTGGGTGTCAGGAGATGGCTTTATTTTGTGACATGATCCCTGAGGTTCATAGGGGCTAAATATCATGAAAAAAAGAAATGTAAATGAAATAAATACATTTTAATTTATTTATCTAATACTTAAATATACCTTTATAGTGTAAAATGCACACTTAAATGCCCAGAAAAATAACTTGAAGTATATTTAAAATGATTAATGAAATTATTTGATTTCATATAAAACATTTTTTGTTTAAAAATGAATCTAATTATTTAACTTTATTAAAATATATTGTTATAAATTATTAAAACATACATTTTCTTCAGTCTCAAGCTGAAATGTTTGGTAACCCCTGACCTAAAGTATCAAATCAAATATATTCACCATCATATTTTAAGTAGAAAAAGAGGGAGCACAATGCGGTGCAGAAAACCGGGTGTTTCATACATTCTGGCTACAGTTGGGTTCTATTTACTTCCATGTCTTCACCTTTTCTGTCTGTCCTTCTTTCTTTCTAGCCACCAATGAATAAAGGCTTATATGTGGTCACCCAAAAGGAAATTATATCCAGCTACCTCACAACATACAGCTTGTTACCCAGACTGAATTGTACAATGAAACATTAAATTATAAAAACAAGCAGCAGGGCATTATTAAGCAACTATCCACGTACTTTCATATTTAGCCAATCAAAAAAATTTTTTTTATTATTATTATTATTTTTTTGCAGCACTAGTGGTTCGTTTTTTCAACTGTAGGCTGACAGGAAAGGGGGTATGAGAGAGGGGGAGAGACAGGCGGGAAAGGACGAACCCAGGTCGCCCGCGTTGAGGACTAAGGCCTTCATACATGAGTCATGCACGCTAACCACTGTGCAACCTGCATGCCCAATCAGACATTATTTAGGGGTGAAGGAAGGAATAAAAGTTGTTCTTCAACCATGTAACTCATGTTTTCAAAAGTCTAGTTTTTCCTGCAAAATGACAAGGCGTCAATCAGTGATGCCCCATGGTGAGTTACATCAACACCGATAGTCCTCACCTTCCACTGTAGGCCATCAGAGGTGGAAATGTGGTCCCTGTGGCCCTACACAAAGTGTTGCTACAGGATCCGGATGGTCAAAATCAACACCTAGAGATCACAATTAAATGCAGCTGATAGTTTCTCTGCAGCCCTATGAATTAGATTGCATTGGTGCTACAGACTGAAGGAGATTTATGCATGTTGAGTAAGTCTTTGGTAGCCAATTTCTAAACTGTTGTGGAGTTAAGGATCATCCCTGCAAACAGCTGTGCATTACACCGTTTAGACGTGGCACCTGTGTCTAGAAGAGAAACTGAAACGTGACAGTCAGATGAAACAAAAATGCAATCAATGTTCAAGTTAAACACAGAATCTAATTTAATTACTAGAGGGGCCACAGTCTTGACAGTTTCTCATCAATATTTGCTGAGAAGATGGCAATGGATGAACGAGCACCGACTCCAAAGTCAGCATCTCCAAGCTTGAATAAAATCTGCAGCTTTCCCCATCGACAGGTCGAATGTCTAATGGAGAAAAGACAAAGACTGAGAGCTTGTTTGGTCAGATTGACAAGAAGTTTGTTTGCACCTGTCGCTGTGAGGCTTTTAAACCAAAGTTCACTGTCAAACATGATGGTTAGAGCAGCTTGTTGTCTTAGTTCTACTGGTTTGTTGCAGAATGATTACGGGATAATTAAGTAAGGGTTGTTTTAAAAAAAAAAAAAACAGTTGATTGATCCAAGATAACAATGATTTAAAAATGCAGAATAACTGTTATTTAAATGGATCAAACTTAATGATATTAAGCACCTTTAGAAGCAGCAACCTAGACGCTGTGGAACATAAGTGGGTGGAGCTATTCTGCCAAGGAAATGAATGGATTAGCCCACCAGGAATATTTTCAGAATCTTGTTGATGTTGTTAAGATAATGAGGTTGGCTGAATACAAAGGAAATAAAATAAAATGTAAATAGCCTAATAATAGTTTTACAGTATTAATAGAAAATTGAGTGGAAGAAGAAAGTGGGGTAGGAAAAGATGCAGCAGCAACAGGGATAACTGCAGCCTTAGAGGATTGTGTAGCAAAATCTTTTCAGAAGAAAAGAAATGGAATTTTGCTTAGTGGTTAAAAAAAAATGTGCTTGCTTTTTATTCGGAAATCAGGTTCCCAGAGTTTGGGGGGTGCGTTGGTTTATGCATTACGAGCCAAAACAAAGTACTGTACATAGATCCCAGAACGCTGAGATTTATTTTCTACTTTAAAGATTTTGTGTGATTTTCAGACTTCTTAAGAAAATAATTTCGGTTTTGCATCATCTGTAATTTTAGTCATCCATAATCTAAGAAAAATACTTTAAATATTCTCTTTCATGTTTTTCTCTTTCTGAAATGTGAGACAAAAAATATTAACCCTTTTAATGATGAGATTTCCATGCTGCATTTTTTTGGTGAGGTTTTAAGTTTATATCTGAGCTCATCTTCAAACTTCTGAGGTAACAACAAAACCAGAAAAGCTTCACAAAACATGAAAAACTCACATGCTTAAGATTGGGCTCTTCCAATCAAGCGGTTGTATGTAAATTGAGAGTCCATCACCTTTCCTCTGTAAAAACAAAACACAGTTATGCAGTTTATATAATGATACCAGAAATAAAGTTCTTAATGAGCTTAAGTCTGATTATTGACAGATAAAGTGGAGAACAACACTGAGAATCTGTCTCTCTGTGTTTTTATTCAGATCCAGGTGATCAAAATAAACACTGCAGACAACAGAGAAACCCGCTCGGCCAAAGACGCTCTGCTGCTTTGGTGCCAGATGAAGACTGCAGGGTGAGCAGCGATGCCAAAAAAGCATAAAACCTGCCCGGTTTACAATTTACACTAAGTTTTTATTTCTAAAATGAACATGTTCCTCTGCAACATACTAACAATATAATGTTTAATTCATGCTCCAGATACCCTGAGGTGAACATTCAGAATTTCACCACCTGCTGGAGAGATGGCCTCGCCTTCAACGCCCTCATACACAGACACAGGTACCATTTATCCACGCGGTCTGCAAAGCAAGGCAGTGTATATAACTATGTGAATTTAAAAATAACATGTCTTATGTTTCTAGAATTCCCCATGATCATTTAGGATTTGTGAATCTTTCTGCCTTGCAGACCTGACCTAATAGAGTTCCATAAGCTGACGCGCTCCAATGCAACCCACAACCTGCAGCAAGCCTTTAACGTCGCCGAGAACCACCTGGGTCTCACCAAACTCCTGGACCCTGAGGGTGAGAATGGGTATCAGTCGTCACAGTGAGGTCGTCAAACTACCCTACTTACAGCACAGCTTTATGGATAAACACTGAACTGTGATGTCACACATAGAAATGATAACTTTTGTAAGAGTTCTTATGTCCCTGATGACTGAGAAACCTTACCAGCATTCTGGTATCTAATGGAAGTTAAGGTTTATTATTGTGACGATGAAGAATAAACAAATCAAAAGTTTTGCAGCATTTCTCAGCCATTTATCTATTTACTCATTAAAAACAAATGGAAAAGACTCTATAAATCAACTAAGATGCGAATCCAGCTGCCTGCTGTGGCCAACCAGACTAAAATGCAGCACCTCAGCAGATATGTCGGGATGATCATCGGTGAGGAGAGATTACCTTTTAGGGTTTATTAAGGGATAGCTTTAATATTATATAGTTATCAAAACAACTTTAAAGTGATTTAAAAATGTGTTTTATTCTCAGATTTTAGGACAGTCTTTTCAGAATTTCCCAAATAACAACCTTGACTATATTCAGGTGGCTTTGTTGTTGGTGGTGCTATTATACAGGCCAGGATCATCATGACTCAAACAAACAAAACGGGATACTAGAAAAGTCACATGACTTATACATACAGTGTTTCCCAACTCAGACTTGAGCAGATGTTTTTTTTCCTTCCTTTAGATGTGAACACAGAGAACCCAGATGAAAAGTCCATCATTACGTATGTGGTCTCCTACTACCACTACTTCTCCAAGATGAAGGCTCTTATTGTGGAGGGGAAGAGGGTTGGCAAGGTAACATGCTTTTTCCGTCCACTTAATTTTAATAATAGTTGATTCAGATAGAAAGTTTTTTTTCTCATTTTTTTTTTCTTTCTGTAGTAAATTAATCTAAGGAAGCCCTGAAAGGAAAGTTAGAAAAAAAAAATCTCTTTTCAGTCCTGTCCATAAAGTCAAGTGCGAAAAAAAAAAATGTTAAAGTGTTAAGTTTTCAAAGTATTTGTTTTTTGTGATACTGGCAGAAAAAACAAAAAACAGCTTTTCTTATCTTTTTTTCCCCCACTGGCGTTTTAGCGCATCTGTATAGTTGTGTATAAGATAATAGAAAGAGATTTAGAAGCCGTCCATAAAACTCATGAAAATCAACATTATTTTAGTTAAACTTAGGAAATGTGTTTATTCTTATCTAATTATTTTGTGATTTTTTTTCCCCTCTTCCTGGGAGCTTATGTTTTATGTCTGCTTTTGACATTTCTGTTTTTGTTTGCTTTTCTGTCTAATGCTTAGTCTCGGTCAAAATGGGTCAAAAAGGACTATATTGATCTGTAATAACCTAGACAAGTTTTCATATTTGTTTTTTATTATTATCTCTGTACATTTTTCCTGTTTATTTCATTGGTTGTTTAATAACTGTTTTTTAAACAACACATTATGTTAAAGGTTCAGAAAGAAATGTTAAAGTCATTTTGAAAATTCTCCATATTCCATTTTAGTGCTTATATTTTTTCATTTTTTGTTCTTCACACTCAGGTGTTGGACAACTGCATCGAGACTGAATCGATCGTGAACCGATATGACGCTCTGGCCTCAGACCTGCTGGACTGGATAGAGAAGACCATTGCCATTATCAGCAACCAGAAATTTGCCAACTCGCTGACTGGAGTTCAGCAGCAGCTGCAGGCTTTCACAACCTACTGCACTATAGAGAAGCCCATCAAGTATGTGCGCTGAATTTTAAAACACCATGTTGATATTTTAAGGTCGGATATAAATATACTCTCTAGATATAAACATTCAGAGACCTTTCTTAGAGAAAATGTCTCTGGATGTCTTGTTTTGTTAGTTTAAAATCTCAAATTCCAGAAGGAAAAAGTTTTTTCTACAGCAATCAGTGAAATATTCTAATGAAGCTGTGCCTACTATAATATTCCAGGATCAAAAATAACAAAAAGAATCCTAGATACATATCTAATTAAATCATGGTATCAAAATTTGGTTCTGCAGTTGTTCCTGAATTTTAAAACAATCTCGTACTCATACATCACAGTATCTGTCTAACTGTATATAAGAATAAGACATTGAGGTGAAAGGTTAAATTATTTCCCTAACTTATGCTTTAGCCCCCAGTTATTAATTTAGACATACATCACACATTTGCTCTCACAAGATTTAATTTAATGTATCTTGTTGTTTAAAGCTGAATCCTAATATTTTTAACCTATTTTAGACATTAAAACTAAACTTCTTTAGAACAGTATAATATTTATTATTATCATTTATAAATGAAAGAAAAGAAATTTGGTAGCTGCTTTCTGATTGGTTTGCAAATTAATCATGAAAACAGAAACAAGTTTATAGTAAACAAAGTACTTTGGGTCAGATTTGAGTGTATGCATGGATAATGAACAATGGTGTCAAGTAACAAAGTAAAAATACTTCATTACCTTACATAAGTATGAAATATAAAATTTGGCCATCTATACTTTACTGGAGTAATCATTTTTTAGACAACGTTTTACTTCTACTACTTACATTTATTTGCAGTTATCTCTACTTTCTACTCCTTACATTTTAAAAACAGATTGTTAGTTTTGTTTCAGTAGGTATTAGGTTTAAGCTTTAAAGCATGTATTCTTAACATTTTTTAATGCATTACTTTTACTTTTATACTTTAGATACTTTTAGAAATTATACTTTTATACTTCAACATGAGTAAAAAGCTTGAGTTGATACTCTAACCTCTAAAGAAATTGTTTTTAAACAGTAGGATGTCAGAAACAGGACAGATGGACCCAGCATTCAAGGTGAGACAGTCAGTAGGAAAGTTCAAAACGTTTATTAAAATAAACAGACAGAAACAGAACAGAAGCGGGCTGCTGTGGATCTGTGGATCTGCGGACCTGCAGCGACGGCGGGGAAAGGGGGGCGGGGCACCACCCCACTGACACTGAAGAGAGTGTGAGTGATCGTGGTCACTTACCTTACATAGGTAAGTAACCATGATAATCAGACAGTGGATGATTACCAGAGTGAGTCACTTACCCGGTTTAACAGTTCAGTCCATACTCTGCGAGGAAGCCAGGATCCAGCCGATGGACTGCCTAACGGGATCCAGTGCAGAGCTGTCCAGGGTGCTCCCTATGCTACAACGACAGACAGCTGACAGGAGACCGATCCAGATCTGAACCGGACAGTTCAGAAATGTCAGAGTCCGTGGCCCGACAGGGTTTCCAATCCACACAGGAAACAGACAGATACCTGTCTCCAAGTATCCACAGAGCGAGGGGGCAGGTTTAGAGTTCCAGAGAGTCCAGCAGGGTGCTCAGATTGACACGCTGAGATGCAGACGGGCAGGCTCATTGGTTGAGGGAAAGAGACAAGACGAGGTACTATGATTTCTGCAGTACTTTAAACTGGTCTCCTACTAGGAGCCAGACTTAAGGGAATAAAACTGACCTTCGCCGTGTTCGGAGCCAAAACCTTAAGGCCTCTGCCGAGAAGGGCCGAAACAGGATCAGAAGACATGAGACACTAAAAACCTCTCAACCCACTGGCTGCCAGGAACGAAGACATGAACCATAGAAATAAACCAAACAACAAACAGAAAGCAAACAATAGCTGCGCTGAGTCGAATATAAAGCAGGTGAATGACATGAACAATTAAGGCCAGCTATCAGGGCAGATCATTACTAGGATTTATACTTCTACTTGGGTAATAAACATTAATGCTTTTGATACCTATGGCAATAAAATAAAGCCACATTTTTACATAGTGTTTCCAACACTTGATGCTCCTTGATCTCCTAGCTGAGGTCATAAGGTGGAGGAGCCACCATCTCATGGGTGAGGACTCTGACAGGAGGCGGAGACGTTCTATGATGTATAATAGAAACGTGACCATTAGTTTTTAACTGTCTGCAATCTGACCTCTCTACCTTACTTATAATACTAACTGCTGAAGGGAAAACAAAAAAATTAACAATCCCCCCAGTATCAGATATGTCTTTGGTCAAGATCCTGCATCAAGCTGAGTCCGACTTTGTTTTTCTATTCACAAAGGTTAATAGGCCTTAATACGTGCTGAAGAATGTTGCTAAACCAGAGGAATTTCAGGAAATGAAACCATTAAAGAGATTCTCCTTTCTTTGTCCAGGTTTCAGGAGAAAGGAAATCTTGAGGTCCTTCTGTTCACCATCCAAAGCAAACTCAGAGCCAATAACCAGAAACCCTACGTGCCTCATGATGGGAAGCTGATCTCAGACATCAACAAGGTCCCCAAATGTTCTCCGAAAAATACACATCATCTCTCTTTCTTTCTTGCCTTCATCTTGAAATTGTTTCCGTTTGCTGTTAACCCTCCAGGCCTGGGAAAGACTGGAGAAGGCGGAGCATGAGAGAGGCATGGCTCTACGCAAAGAGCTGATTCGTCAGGAGAAGCTGGAGCTTTTGGCTCAGCGTTTTGACCACAAAACAACCATGAGGCAAGCGTGGCTCAACGAGAACCAGAGACTCGTGTCGCAGGTAGGAGCAGATCAGCCCCCATAGTGTGTTGCATGCTTCACCTCTGGCAGGGGATACAGTACGCATGCTGCCGACTGGTATTAATAAATATTGTTTCATGCTTTGTGTGAAATATCAATGCAGGTTGATTCAGAATTAAATTTAATCCTTGATTTCTTTGCTACACATTTTATTCCTTTGTCTGTAGGATAATTTTGGCTACGATCTGCCTGCAGTCGAGGCTGCGATGAAGAAACACGAGGCCATCGAGGCGGACATAGCCTCTTACGAAGAAAGGATCGGTGTGGTTATTGAGCTCTCCTCAGAGATGGAAAAGGAAGGATACTACGACATCCGACGCATCCTGGCACGCAAGGAGAACATCCTGGGCCAGTGGAGTCTCCTAAAGGAGCTGGTGGCTGGAAGGAGGACCCGCCTGGAGAAGAACCTGGCTTTGCAGAAGACCTTTCAGGACATGGTCTACATGATCGACTGGATGGAGGAAACGCAGGTACTAAGGGGGGCACTTTTACAATAATTAGAAAATCACACAAATCTTAAGTGGTCCTTTCTTATGTTAAAAACGTTCCAGTAAGTTAGTTTTTTTCACTAGAGATGAAATTAAAAACAAATCTCTCAACGTTTAATTCGAACATATACTCAGTGGTTAAATAAACCAAACATATAAGAATGGTTGCTTCTCTGACAAAAATGGAGAACATGCCAAGGTGATGTGATTAGTGTGGACCTTTATAAGTTTTATAAAAGCCAGATGGATAGTAATGAAAGTCAGAGTAATAAATAGAAAAAAGTTAAAACTCCTGAAAATGAAGGCTTGATGACAGCTTCAGTTTATCCTGTCAACAAGAACAGACAAGTACAAGATGATCATAGTGATTATTTTACAAAAAATCATTAAAAGTTTTATTGCATCTTAATATTTCATAAAATTCACTGATAGGTTAGGGATGACTGTTCAGGAGGGGGAGGGATTCCATGGGCCGTCCTTGTTTGCTGCCCATCATTAACTTTAACGGCTAAAGTCATATTTAAATGTTAAATCATTCTGGCATAAACATGTATATAAATGTGCTCTTTATCAGACGATATTGAGCCAAAAGTTAGAAAATTTCTATTTAAAAAACAAATGCTGTCTTAAGATCTGTAGCGGTTTTTTCTTACCTTATGCAGGCCAGTTAGTTATACATCAGCTTGTACACCTAAATTCAGCCAATCATATATCAATGGTCATCTGTCAACCCAATTTTTTTGGTCATAGCCTCTTGATTCATATGTAGCAGCTATTATATGCAACGGTTTAAATAAGAATTATTTCCTTTCCCATTGAGTTCCGTCCCAGTGTTCACGGGGATGGACGTCTGTGTCTTCAGCAGGCGTAGAGCTAACAGAATTGGCAGCGTTGCGAGGCAAGGGCTCAAACATGTACGGCTGTAAGCCTTCTACACCAAACCAAGCTTCTGCCGCCCTGGCGTCCTCTTCCACAACATCTTCGTCCCGGTTTCCTCCTCTAAATAAAAAATGTATGACGGAGGAGACTCATCCACGACCTCCGACACAAAACTCTCCTCCTCTTGCATGTTTCCGCTGTCTATAGCGTTCCTTCACAGTGTCGTTTCCAAGTCACCAATTTAGTGCTACTTGGTCCCAATGTAATTTCCCATTGGGAACCTACTAGCACTAAGTTGCTAACTGGTTAGCAAGATGCTTCCGAGACACCGGCCACAATCAAACTTGCTTGCGAACCTTCCACCACAACAATCCCGCCCCCTTGATAATCAACCAATCACATTCACTTTATTCACTCGTGTAATGTCGGGCACCACTCGAGAGAATTCGGAACTGCAACAGTTGGAACAGGCGTTTCCCTACAACTTTAAGGGTCTTTGCCTTGATGATGTTATTAAGATGATGCTAATATTTTTATTATTATCACCAATACATATATATATATATAGTAATCATGAAGCAAACAAACATTTTTATAATCCTTTACTGATCTCTCTCGGATTTCAAATGCATATAACCTTTGCTTGTCAATTTCAATTGGGCCACTGTTAATCTTATTTATTTATTTATTTTGTAGTTACTTTTTTGTTTCTTTTGTATCTCCATTTGCCTAACATTGCATTATTTACTATGTACTTACCTACTCCCCATGACACCTCCTGTCTCCTCTTTTCCTTATGTCGTATAACATAAAATCTTGTATTTTATATTTAGCGATGACCTGATCTGATATTGACTGCCGGTCCAATATCAGCCAAAAGAACTAATAATGGATTATATTGGCCTGCATCTTAAATTTACAATACTACTATGCTTATAGAAACACTCTGCTTCTGTTTAAAATTCCCTTAACTCTGGGTAAGTTGTTCACATTCCTGCTTTTATTGATGACTATGGCTCTTTATTTGAGTAATGTCACCGATCAAGCCCTTTCTAATATTTCACACTACAAAATAAGTAATTAGAATATGTTTGATTTGTTCTGATACCATATCTGGTCAAACTTGTTATTAATTTGTAAATGCACACTTTATCACTATAAAAAAAAACTCAGCAATCTCTATCAGAGATCACTAAGTCTTAATAACAATCATTATTAAATAAATAAACGGTTGCAAGGCATCATGACCTTTAAGAAAGGCCAGAACATTTTTATAAAAATCTGGTGGCAGAAAAAAAAAACAGGAGAACTATAAATGTGGCCTTTTTTTGAGAACATTTCTATTGGCATTAAATCTACCCAGAAAAATACTTTTTATTTTATTTATCTGTCTCAATGTGATAATATTTGACTGCAAAGATCAATTTATGTAATGTTTTCATTACTCCCCTCATAAAAGGGATTGTTTACCATGTGTGAAAAGGTATGCGCTTTTCCCCATTCTCCTTCTGTTTTCCCTCATCCTGCCTTTCAGGCTCAGCTGCTGTCAAAGGACTTTGGAAAACATCTTCTGGAGGTAGACGACTTGCTGCAGAAGCACAGCCTGCAGGAAGCTGATATTTCAGTGCAGGCTGAGAGAGTGGAGATGCTCAATGCTGCTGCACTCAAATTCACCACAATAGAAGGTACGCATACACACACTGGAGAGGAAAAAGGTTTTTGGTTGATGTGAGGCAGAGGTTCCCAACCTAGATTAAATAAGCTGTGTCCTTTTAGCTATTAACCCTAAAGCTTGTGTGCACACCCATGGATGTGGATATGACATTTTTGCATGCATGTGAAATAATTATCGGGAAAATAATCGATTTTATTTTCAGCCAAAAAAAACAAAAAAGAACCGGCAAATAACCAGAAATCAAATGTCTGGTCTGGTTCAGTTATCGAATATCAATCAATCTAAGCTCATCAGCTCATCAGACCAGGACAATGGACGATAAATTAGACACCCACATTTTAAATGGTTTAGTCAGTTTAACCCTAAACCAAGAATGCTCAGCAATAAAAAAACATAGAAGATCACCAATTGTTATTACCAGTTATCTGTGGTTTAGCTTTGAAGATTTTTTTTGGGAACACAGTGTTACACGGCATGGAACTTGCACCAATCTTACTCCTGGTCCTTTAATCGATTGCTTTTGCCTTCCAGGCTACCAGCCATGTGACCCACAGGTGATCTGTAACCGTGTGAACCACGTCTCTACCTGTGTGGAAGAACTGAAACAGCTGGCGGCTAAACGGCGGGCTGAGCTTGAGGAGTCGAGACAGCTGTGGGCCTTTTTTCAGGTGGGAGAAGAACGATCTAGGCAGTGGCAGGGCAGTCTAAAATTACTAAAATGTCAGTGACCTAAAACGCACCACAGATTCCATACTGTTATTAATTATAAAAATAAAAAAAAAGAATGCACCTAAGACCCTGGAGGATGCATAGAATCAGTTATAAACCCTAGGAACAAAAATAGGTAGAGTTTGGAGAGAAAAAAACAACCACACAACAGATTTTATTCAGCTCATCCCAACTGTTAAGCATGTTGGTGGAGGGATGATGGTTTGTTTTGTTTGTTTTGTTTTTTTTTGCCACCACAGGATACCTCACTATCACTGAGTGGAGCATGAAATTCTTTAGATGGCAAAGTATTTAACCCTGTAATGCCAAATGTATCATTGATACATACGGTTTCTGAAATGTTTTGCGTCTGACACCTTTTGCATAATTTAATGGTAAAAACTTTGCTCAAAATCATATTGTACACAATCAGATATACCTGATAACAGAGGGCAGAAGACTACACACAAAAAAATCTTGACTTATCGCATAGTAATAAATTATTAATATCAAAAATGTATTTCTGTTTTTTCTTTTTACATATTTTGTTGGATCGGGCTTTAAAGGGTTAAGAATAAATCTAATGGCTGAAGCTCAGCCCAGACCAGTTTTTAAACTGGACAATGATCCTAATCCCAGTAGCAGGTCTACAACAGAGTTTCCGAGACAGATTATCAGGGTGTTGCAATGGCCTAGTTAAAGCCCAGACCTCATCCTGACTAATATGCAGAGAGAGATGCACAAAAACAGATCTGGAACGTTAGATAAATGGAGACAACATAGGAAATGAAAGAGGGGCATATTCTAGAGCTTATTTGGAATATAGTTTTGATTAAAAAAAGAAGAAAAACACAATAACCTAAAAGGACAGGCACCAGGATTTTAGGTCAAAGGACATTTAACCAGAGTAATAAATATCAAATCCCCATATCAATGGACATTTGATGAATAGCATTCAATTCTCATGGGGACAAGTAAACACTGGGATCAAACATGCATGCTTGCAAAGGAAAAAATCATCATAAAATCGAAATTTTGGTAGAAAAGTAGTTCCATAGTTTTAATCTGCAGCCTTGGTTTATTCACATCCGCTGATAAAACTGTTGGAAGATAGCTTCTACATAGTTTTTCCTCCTGCTGTTTTTTTGTTTTGTTTGTTTTTTTATTTCCATTTCGGCTTGATTTTTGCCTAGAAATAAATGTAATGGGCAATTTTTGGGTTACAGCTCCTCATCTGCTAAAATACAGTACGAGATCCGATCATCTCAGATTAAATTTGTGCTGAAGTTTCCTTTTGTGGAGGTTTCTGAGAATGAGCCATTGTTTCCTCCTCAACGTCTGTTTCTGTCAGATGTGCAAACCTTTTTGCTCACATAAGAACCTGATGAAGACTAGATCGACTTTCATCACATATGTGACTATTGAACCAAACCAGGGAGCAGTTTCTTTTTCCATAACTGTAAATGTTGCAGTGTCTCATTAAAAACTAAACAGATGGTCAATCATTTATTACCTCAAACAGCTGAGTCAACTGATGCTTTAGAAGATAAATGGCTTTGAGAATTGCTTGTGAGTTGCATTACTGGTTTGTTGCGCTCCCATGTTCGCCTTCATGTGTGTTTTATCGTATTTAGTTTCAATTAAATTTTCTAAAATCCTTATCTGGCATTTCAGTCTCAACACAATGGTAAATTTTCACCCACCAACAGTGCATCTTTGCATCCTTTTCTTTCTCAAAGCTCATTTAGAACAAGCCCATTCATAAAAAAATTTAAAAATATATAAAGCTTTTTATAGCTTGGTATTTATATTTTCAAATGCCTTGACCTAAAGAGTTTTATCACATGCAGTTTGACTTTTAATTTCTTATCATAATCAGTTAATTTTTATTGAAAAAATGTAACATTTTCTTTCTTTTATATTTCATAACATTCACTGTTTACGTCTTCAGGTATATCTTTTTAAACTAGCTGCTAGGCAAATTACTTGTTTTTATTTCACATAATCTTAGTAACAAAGGCATAATTGTTTTTCTTGTCATTAAAATCGAGAGCATATTTTCATATTGCAGTATCTTTGGTCTTTCCAAACTATAGTTTTTCAGAGTTGAATCCTTCCCTTTCTACTTAATCTGAACTCTTAGTCTGGTGTTCACCCATCTGTTAGGAGCTGGAGGAGTCGGAGGCCTGGATTCGGGAGAAAAGCTCCATCCTGGCCTCTCAGGGATATGGGAAAGATCTGAGCAGTGTGCTGAGGTTACTTCAGAAACACAAGACTCTAGCCGGGGAGCTGCTGGCTCATCGCTCTCTGCTGCAGGTGTGTGTTTTACATTGTTGAATCTGCACCATGATCACTAATACTACCTAGACTCATTAGTCCTACAGATTATCTAAGTGCATATTGTTCGGATTTGCATTTATAGGATTAAGGCTTCACAGGGTTTCACAATGACTTGTGTTTTCTCGCTGTACCTCTGTCCAAAATCTGAAGTTTTTTCTTCTTTCTTCTCCAGAACACCATAAAACAAGGAAAGCAGATTCTAAGTGAAAAGAGCTTTGGCACCACTGGGATCCAGGAGCGCATCATGGAGGTAAAAGACGTGTGGAAAAGGCTGGAGGACCAGGCTGCGCAGCATCTCAACCACTTGCAGGAAGCGCTCAACTTCTTCCAGTTCTCCACGGAGACAGACGACCTGGCGGCCTGGCTGCAGGACGCCTACCGTCTCGTCTCCAGCGAGGACTTTGGTCACGATGAGTACTCCACTCAGTCTTTGCTGAAGAAACACAAAGGGGTCACAGAGGCTATCGATAAACACAGACTACATGTTGTTGCGCTGCGGAAACACATGATGGTGCTGCCTCTGCAATACCAAGAACAGGAGGTGTGTTACAGCCTCTCTTTAAATATATCCACTATGTCTTATTCCAGCTTCTTAAAGATCTCCTAAGATTCTGTTTGCTCCTCCGTCGGCAGGAGGTGCAGGTGCGTTTGGGCGACGTGGAGCAGCTATATGCCGAGGTTGCTGAAGTCGCCGTGCTCCGGCAGCAGTGGCTTCACGATGCGCTGGCTGTGTACCGCATGTTCAGCGAGGTCAATGCCTGTGAGCTCTGGATCGATGAGAAGGAGCAGTGGCTGGAGAAGATGGAAATCCCTGAAAAGCTGGAGGACGTGGAAGTGGTGGCACACAGGTAAGAAATGCATCACAAAACAAAAGTCATAAAACGCCCCTTTTTTTAAATTCACATGTCTCTTTAATTCAGGTTTGAAAGCTTGGACCAGGAGATGAACAGCCTGATGGGACGGATCCTGGATGTTAATCAGATAGTACAGCAGCTCCTGGATGGAGGTCATCCTTCTTCTGCGGAGGTCAGAGGTTGTCAGGATCATCTCAACTCCAGGTACAAAAAATGCAGATGTGTCAACAGTACCGCTTAGTTCTTAGCCTCCTGATTTATTGCTCTGCCTCAAGCTCTCTGATTTGCAATGCTGTGAATGATTACTGAAAGTCAGAGCACAATGCAAACTGTTTTTTATTGTTGATGTGAGACTTGAGGTTTGAATTACCAGACAAATGATTCTGGTGCAGGATACTAGTTTGTAGCTCTGTGCATCGGTCTGTTGGTTTGCATCCGAAGCCAAAACATGCAGCGCCACAGCCATTCCTTCGGGAACACTCATGAGTGAACTATGCGTTGTCCGGCGTTGGATGAGGGGTTGTATCCGGCAACCAAACTCGTCAAACCGACACAAGGACACCAACAATCCTAGCTAGTTTGTGATGGTCCCTCTGGCATTGTGGCGTGAAATAACAAAGTGCAGACCACGCTTAAAATTAAGCATGAATCAAAAAAATATCTGCATCATACCGGTGATAAGCTAACTGCGACACACTGCTGTGGGAGTATAGACAGCCCTTTAGATGTAGATTTTATTTGTAGATATCACTGAGTTTAGAATAAGGCCTTTCAAAAGCTAAAGATTCCTTTCCTCCTTAGTGGATAGTTACAGCAAGTGTTAATAGTACTACAAAAATGCATATTTTACTTCACAAATATCAGCATTGTGGCTTCTAGTCTCATGTAAAGTAGCACAAAAACACTTTCTGAAAGCTCAGAAATAACTATAATTATTGCATTACTCTATCACCTAGGCAATGGCGTAGAGCTCTGTTATAAACATGCCAAACAGTTTCCATGAGGATGTTAAAGCTGTTTCATTAACATGGTAATAGCAGAGGGGCCCTGTGTCAAGCACGGCTGACCACACTGCCTCACTGGGACTCAGTTATCTGGGAATTTGAAGCATGAATTGCCAAACTGGCCTCCTGCCATGGCTACAACATTAGCATTTTCATTCCAGGCGGACAGTACATTTTGTCATTTTAATAATCTTGACAATGTATGGCACCCAGTTACTTATTCAGCTTCTTTATCAGGATCTCAGAAGCAATTTACTTCACCGATACTTATAGGTTACAGTCTCAGATTCAAGCCCCTTGCAAATAGAAATGTGTTTGGTATAGGCTTCCTGTAAACAATAGTGCTTCTACCAGTGGGAAAAGATGCACACACCTCCAAATTGTGGCCTTTCTATGCTATTCTGGTGGTTTGGCTATCCTGTCTTTCTCCAACATTTCAGAAACATACATGTTACGTAGGGCTGCACAGTATCACTTAGCGTAGAAACCTCCACATGGCTTCCCAGTTCCTTTGCTTTCTTAAGAGTGAACAATCATAAGCAATACAGATGTTCACCCTCATTTTACTTCCTTCCAGTTTTTTTGATTGGCTTTAATATCTGAATTGTGAGGAAGCCCTTTCTCTATTATCATTTAGCTACTTGGATCCCGCATTGCCTAAGCTTCGTCTTACATGACTTTAACTATTATTCCTATTAGTGCAAGTTAGCCTAGCCAGCCATATTGGTACAACGTGTACACATTGCATCAGTCTGGTAAAAAGCTGGTAGAGCTTGATTTCAAAGGCGGGACTGACAGCGTCAATGTCATCAGGTTAGAACCAATCATGTAATTAGAAATGTGATGCAAGAACTCCAAATTATCCTCTTTTTTAAATGTAATTTTTTAGTGAGTGAAACATGTGAAACCAAGAATAGCTATTGACTCCTTGATAAAAAGAAATGACTCTTAAGCTGTCCTTGGTTGAGGTTTTAAAATTAGATCAATATATCACTTAGGACATAAGGAAAGGGTATCATTGAAACATTGTTCCACTGCTTTCGCCATCTTGCTGTTATGGTAGCAGAAAGGCATTGAGAGTGACGCATTGCACAATCCCGTGCTGTGATTGGTCTGGCCAGTTTGGCTGGAGTCAAAGACGGTTCACCTGACTGAATTACTCGCTTTGTCATTACGCTCAGTGTAATTTGTCCACAAGTATGGGGAGTGGCGGGCTGGCGGCCTAGTGGTTCGGGCATTGCACTTGAAATCCAGAGGTTCTGATTTCAAGCCCCACTCCCACAGACTGCCACTCTGGGTTGCTGAGCAAAGACCCTTATCCCAACACTGCTCCCTGGGACCCACACAATGGTAGCCCACTGCTCCACAATGGGATGGGTTAAATGCAGAGAGTTAATTTTGTTGCTATGTACTTGTGATTGTGTAATGACAATAAAAAGCTGGAAATAAAAGTATATATTTTGGACCCATCAAAATTTATAAAGCAATTATTTATACACAATTTAATGTTGCATTAATGTTTAATAATTTATAAAAGTTTGATTTGTATGCCTCTATACATTCTCTGGATGTGTTTTTTGGAAATATTTATTGTTTTGATGAAAAACGTAACTACGACCTGTAATTTAGTCTTTCATAACAACCTTTGACAGTATCTATGTGTGTAATCTCACATTCATTGACTGCTCCAGTGTCTGGCAAGATGAGAGTCTTGTGACCTTGGCTTCTCTTGCTATCTCAGGGTGACCATCTGTGCTGCTTTCCTTTCTCAGGATGAGGTCAACTTGCATCACGTATCCAAAAATATCAAATAAACACAAAATGTTGTTTTTCTCCTCCATGTAGGGTGTTTCTATCTAATTTACAGATTAAACCTGATACCCTCATAATTAATAAACTGATGTTTCAATGTAAAGCAATTGCACCTTATAGCTTTTAGATGTATAATATTTATTTTGGCTTATCCATTAAAATACTCACTGTCTTTAGGCGACAATTGAACTGCGGAGCATCATCATTACCTCATCAAAATCACAGGGATTCGTTCTTATGCGTTATGGGCTTGTTTACTTGGACCTATTGGTCTGAACTACATTATAGGATATTAAATAAACAAGAAATAACCTGAGACTGAGATTTGAGTTAACAGAGCAGATGGTTACAGAGTTTGAACAGGTTTAGAAAATGTTGCTAAAAAATATGGTTTTATTGAATAAAAACTGCCAATTTAGCAGTCATGAAAATAGTCGTGTATAGCAGATAAATGGTAAATGGTCTGAACTTATATAACGCTTTTCCAACTCAGGAGACTTGACCAAAGTGCTTTACACTACATTCAGTCATTCACCCATTCACACACAGATGATGGCAAACTACATTGTAGCCACAGCTGCCCTGGGGCTCACTGAGAGAAGCAAGACTGCTGTATACTGGCGCAACTGGACCCTCTGACCACCATCAGCAGACAATGCAGGTGAAGGGTCTTGTCCAACCCTTCGATTTCAGGGCAAACTCCTTCATCCAACAACACTGTTGCCCAAAAGGAGAAATGGGGCGTATAGCAGAAATAGACTTTTGATCTGGCCTGATAGCTTCACCTCTATTGTTAATTTAACTTACCTGCCTAGTTCTGGCCGGTTCCTAGTTTTCACTCATCTTTTCCACCTCCGTCTGTGCTTTATATGTGGTTCAGCCCGAGCGATCGGGGCCACATCTTTATTCGTTTTCCGTTTGTCTGTACGGTAGTTTTACTTTATTCCATGGTTCAAAACCTGGTTCCTGGCGGCCAGCGGAGTTAGAGGGTTTTCGTGTATGTCTTGTCTTATGATTGTCTTATGATGTTTTGGCTCGGAATGCCGGGTTTTACCAACCCGCACCCGCCCGAACCCGTTAGGATGACTACCGAACCCGACCCGTCACCCGCGGATATCTTCAATTCAAATCCGAACCCGACCCGACCCGTTGATATTTAACCCGCAACCCGACCCGTTAAAACATCAAGTAATAGGCTATAGTACGCTGCGCTGCAGAGCAGCGCCATTAACACTGCAGCAGACGTGTATGCACTGACTGTGGCCTTTTTGGAGGGAAGCCCACACTGCCGGTAGGGCTTTAAGCTACAACAAGGGTGACCCCAGACAGTGCCTGATTAATATAAGATTTCTGATGTCCATAACAATAGACACGCATAAAAAAATAAAAAATAAATCACCAACTACCCGCCCGCACTAAAAAAATATCCGCCCGACGCCCGTTTATTTTTATTTATGTATTTTTCACCCACAAAAGAGCATTTTTGCGAGTGACCCGTCGGGTACCCGCGGGTACCCGACCCGTTGCAGGACTCTACCGGGAGGGTAGAGTCCGGGAGGGTCCCGTAAGCCTGGCTCCTAGGAGGAGACCAGTTTAGAGCCCTGCAGAAATCCTAGTACCATGTCTTTTCTCTGTCCCTCAACTATTGAGCCTACCTGTCTGCATCTGTGCGTGTCTGTCTGGGCATGCCGCTGGACTGGCGTCGTTTTTTTTTTTTTTTTTTACATTACAGGACATCACAAAACCATGAACATTTCAGGTGATGTTTTGACTAACTGTTTCTGATAATATCAGACTTGTGGAAAATGAAAAAGAATTGAGTGAGAGGTGACCGTTTGAGTGTTGGAACTCTTCATAGTAAATTAGGGAGATTAGCCCTGGAATCAAGACAGGCAGTAACCAAAGTTGTGGATTTGACTGACATTGGATAACTTGCAACATCTACCCCCACAATGTTACAGAAAGTCCACTGCTACTGAGCATATTGTCATTGAACTCATCGTGCAATAGTTCTCTATAAAAATAATTTAAAGCATTGGATTTAGATATTTTTGTTCATCTTTATTTTAATTTTTTTACCAATGCAAAATTGGATTTGGTGTGTTCAGGGCTTAAGACTGACAATCTTGGAGCTGGAGATTCAAGCCTACACACACAAAAAAAGTATATGACAGCAACTAGTATTTGGGTAACACTGGATCTTGTGAAGTAATTATGTGGGTGTTTTATGCCAATCTGCATAAGCAGATGTGTGCTTACTTCAAGCATGCACTTTATTGGCCTGATAGCCCTGATTGGTTACTTCCCTGCACGCTTTGCTATAAAAAAAAAACCTGTTCTCATATATATATATATATATATATATATATATATATATATATATATATATATATATATATATATATATATATATATTTAAAATAATACTGTGGGATATATTTTGTTACAGTTTAACTTACATTTTGTCTTGTCTCAGGGCACATAGAGCTTTCAGAAGAAGTAGACTGCTTGAAATTTAAAGTTGGTGCTAAAGATATTCTCTAATGTTAAAATGGTCCTTACAATATAAAACCTCTTTTTGTTTTTTCTTTGTCTGTTTTTAATTTATATTTAATAATCCCTGTATAAAACTCTGCGTCTTCTGCCCCAGGTGGAACAGCATCGTAGAGCTGGTGGAGCAGAAGAAAGACCAGCTGAACTCAATGTTACGGCTGCAGAATTACCTACTGGAGTGTGCTGAGATCAAATCCCAGATCCAGGACAAGAGGAAAGCCATTGATGCCACACAGTACATGGGCAGCGATTTGGGAGGGGTCCTTGCTCTGCAGAGACGCCTTTCTACCATGGAGGGAGCCCTGTCTGTCTTGGAGCCCAAACTGCTACATCTACAGGTACAGGAGTCCTTTCTTAAATTCAGACCTGCTCTTCCAGAATTATTGCCAGATTTTTTGTCCTATTTTAGTTTTAATGTATAATGAAATTTAAAAAGGAGTGTGTTCATTGTTTTCCTGATAAAGGAGGAAGCAGAGTATCTGGCCACTGCTCATCCAAGTCGAACCATGGAAATCCTTGTGCCGTTCGATGGCATCAGCGTGGAATGGGAGGAGCTTAAGAGGACCCTGCAGGGATGTGAAGACTCACTGATGGTGGCTAGCAGGCTCCAGAGCTTCATACAGGTATGTGTAGATAAAATAAGCAACAATATAACAAAATTCTTGGGCTAAAACCAATGCATATGCAGCATGTTGTAATGGTTTTGAACTATAAGGCAAGGGGAGAAGAAATGAAAGACACCCTTGAAGTATTTTTTTAGATTTAAAAGATAAAGAAGGAGGCGGGGGCTGCTAATTAAATCTTTTTTTTTCTTTTTTTTTTTTTTACTATTTGCTGTTCTGAGGCAGTGTGGTGTGCATTACAATGTTAGGACAGAAAACATAAGTAGTGGCCTTAAAGAAGCAACCTTTTCTTTCTCCTACACAATTAAAACCAATAAATCTTTAGAACTAGAGATTCTTCCCAAGAGAAAACACCAAACACATTGATCAATCTTGCCATTTGTGGGAAGGCTTTAGGGCAATCTATGAAAGACCCAAGATTTTATAGCCCACATTTAGCATGTGACATGTAATCATGTTCATGACAGAACAATCATAGAAATTACCATTTTAGAAGGTTGAAGGAGAGAATATTGCCCAAGTTTGCATATATTTGCATCTCAATGATTCAAAGGACACATAGAGATGTTTGGTCATAATCAGTAATCTAGTTTTAAAAAAAATAAGGGGGATAGTGGATATTTTATTTTATTTTTCAATTTTTTGAAAGCAGACATAGCCTAATTAATATTAAACTAAAGCACTGTTCGTGGTGTGGTTGTTTCATGTCAGGTACGCCAGTCATTGACCAAGGCACCTTACAGTAGAACTGCAGTCAGTCCCTGGACTGGCATGGCTATCATTGCCCCTACATAGTTAGGGACAAATGCAGAGGACACATTTCCAACTGGGATCAGCTTCATAGTCATAGTAGGACACTTCTTTGATTTTATTTATTTTGCTCAGGCTACTCATAAACACACAGCCCACCAAATGTTGAAAGGGTAATATAATTGCCTTAATGTTAATATATACAGTAGTGGAAATTTTACACATTCAGTAATAAAATGTCACAGTATGGTATGGGTGTGGGGGGTGTGTGGGGGGTCATTTAAGAAGGGTGAAGGTTTTTAAAGATTTTTCTAAAAACGGGGAAGCCATCCCCCCTCAACTTGAGTACTGGTCATAATGCACTGTGAGATTTTCTGACAAAGCTAAACTCAGCGTTCCAGTGGGACGTGGTGGTCTAGTGTTTAGGAGAGGAGGTTTATTTCCTGGAGATGCTAAAAGTTCCCTGGTGTAAAACTCAGAAGGTTACTTTGGCTTCTTGAGGAAGACCCTCAACCCCAGAATCCTCCTAAAGCAGCACTGTACTCTTACAATAAAGTGACCATGACCTCCTCTGTGTACCAAGTAGGGCTGTATCGGTTAATCTTTAAAACAATTCATAGTTGCTGATTCGTTTCATAGACAATTTTGGTTTATTTAGATTGATCCAATCCGATTCAGTAACTTGACATTGATTCAGTAAATCGTTAGCCAAAAATGTAACCAGTGTAACTGTGAAATAAATACCTGCATACTTGAAATGTCATAGATTTGTGTTGTTTCTTTTAAAGGAACTTAGGTACATACCTATGACATAAATATGTTCCTAAACAAATATGTAGTAAAAAAAAAATAATAGCAAAAACATTCAAATTTTATTTTAAGTTTAACTCCAGATTAAATCAATAGGAGGTTACTTTTCTGTTATTATGTTCAATAATGTGTTGTTTTTTTGTTTTTTTTATCAAAGTTTGCTAAGTGCAATAAATGTTTTAACAGTAGGTTTACCTGCTGTTTCCACAGTTTTTTTTACTTGAAAATATTACAACTGTGAAACTAAAGTCAATTGCAAGAAGAAACTCTGCAGGTTGAATCAAAAGTAAATATACCTGCTGTTTTTCAATCTAAAAATATTACAAATAGAACATTGACGTAAAAATATATGCAACTGACATTGCTTTAGGTTAACTAAAAAGTGGTCAAATCTGCGGTTACTGTCATTATAATAAAGAATGGACAGCTAGTAACAAAATACTAGAAAATCACTACTTTTTTTTTTTTTTTTTAATCAGCTAATCCACATGATCTGGCCAAAGTTGTGTGCATTCAAACTGGTCATGTTGTTTTTTGCCCGAGTTGAACCTTTGCAGTTTTTAACTGATCATGCTGGTGCAGATTTAATGATCAGCTTTGCAGAAGCCTCGCCTGCATGATGTGTGGATTTTACCTTGATGCTGCTGCAGCATGAATGGCGTCAGTGGCTATCGTGGATTGTTAATAATTGTTAATAATCTATGGCACTGTGACTTCCACTCCATCGACCAAGCTACTTTAACATCTATCCACAGTTGCAAATTGACATGACGTCACAGAAAGAAAGACTTAATCAAGTCATATTCAGTGTCTTTATCATTAAAAGTACTGTACGCGCACAACCCATGTAAAGAGGCCTTAGTCCTCGACGCGGTAGACCCGGGTTTGAATCCGACCTGTGGTCCTTTGCCACATGTCTCTCCCCCTCTCTCATATCCCCTTTCCTGTCAGCCTGCTGTTGATAAAACAAGCCACTAGTGCCGTAAAAACTAAACAAAAAAAAAAGTACTCACACAAAATTCATCCAAAAAGAAAAAAGCTAACATGCTTCAATGTCTCATTTCCTAATATCAGTATTAGGATTAATTAAATTTTAAAACAATTTTAGAGTTGTTCATTTAGTCTTTATTAACAATTTGCTGAGCACAGATCTTTGTAGTTAGATTGCAGGAATAGGAATCAATCCTGCAATTAAGCAATGAGTTGGTGCACCCCTAGTACCAAGTATTTTAAGTGAAATATGAAGCCAACTGTTGTACAGAAGCCCGGGTTATTAACAGGACAAGAATCCCAAGCATAGCAGCAAATCCACAATACATAAAATATTAAGGCTGTTGAAATGGACTAATGAAGTCTAAACTTGACTGAAATTCTGTTGGGCAACCTGTCTCATCAGGATCTGGACTCCTTCCTAACCTGGCTGGTCCAGACCCAGACGGCTGCTGCCTCTGATCAACTTCCCAACGACTTGGAAGAGGCAGAAAAACTCATCAACAAACATGCTGCTCTCAAAGAGGAGATCGGACGGTAAGTGGCTGTTCTGCAACAGAACTCCATCATTGCTGTGTTTTTCGGAGTATAACTGATGTATGATGGGCAAGTGTATATACGGCCATACCCAGTCATAGTAAGCACGGCTAGAGTTTTGACACAACTTAACCTCACCCTCACTTTTGCTGCTGGTCCTAAAAATATTGACTGACGTGGCCATCTCAGCCCCAACTGCTCATAGGAACGAGGTGCTTGTCCGTCGGAATTTTCAAAGCATTTCCTTTGTCCATGAAGTGAATCTGTGCACAAAAAGTTAACCGTGTGGGAAAATAGTGGAAGGGAAGTGGGTGTGTAAAAAGGGTGTGGCAGACCATAACTTGATGTACGGAGGGGCTCCAGGGCTCATACTGTTAAAAGAAGAAGATAGACGGCTGTCTATACCTTGCATATGTTTTCCCTTTCGACTTTGCATCGACAGTTTACGGATTGAGGCATTTATGGGTAATGGAAGGAGAAGGATTGATGCCTACACCTTATACATTTTCCCTCTTCAGTTTCATCTTTGGCAGTGAATAACTCCCAGATGCTTTTGAGCAGGGGTGCTCAAGTCCAGTCCTCAAGAGCTACCATCCTGTAACTTTTAGATGCATCTCTTCTCTAACACACCTGAATCGAACTGCTCAATCCATCATTTAGCCCAGCAGAGGAAAGGTAACGAGCCACTCATTTGATTCAGGTGTGTTAAAAGTGGGGTGCATCAAAAAGTTGCAGGATAGTAGCTCTTGAGGACTGGACTTGAGCACCCCTGCTTTTGAGTATCAGAGTAATATTTGAGATTGAGCATCACCTATGCAGGATGTACAAACAACCTAAAGCAAACCTCTCAACTGTGTTTAGGCCCATACCAAAGTATAGGCTTATCTTTGACTTTCTGTAAACAAAACCCATTTTGGGTTGTTAAATCCATCAACTATTTTGTTTGTTACAGATCATTCACTTTCTGTTATCCCTTTCCCTTTTGTGAAAGTGAAATTGTACTGAAAGTGGAAGTACCAACTGTAGAAATTTTATTTGGGTTCATACTTGTGGTCCATTTGCAAGTAGATTGGGATAACCCAATGGGGCACACCGTGGAAGGTTTCCTTGCATCCCCCCGTAAAGAAATCCCAATCATTCCTGCATGTCTCTGTTGTTCTGGATGCAGGTATGAGGAAGACTATGAGCGTCTCCAAGCCATGAACGAGCTTCTAGAGTCAGAAGATGCACCTCTGCCTCAGGCGGCCCTGCAGCAGTGGCTCCAGAAGCTTGATGTTGGCTGGAACAAGCTCCTCGAAATGTGGGAGAGCAGGAGGGAAGTTCTGGTCCAAGCTCATATTTTTCACCTGTTCCTACGAGATGTCAAACAAGCAGAGTCCTTCTTAAACAACCAGGTGAGGCACATAGAATGAACAGAAACATGAAGAAATTGTGTTTTATAACTCATAACTAACACTGATTATCACTTCTTCCGGATCCATCTTCAGGAATCGGCTCTCGCTCACGTGGAGCTTCCCACCACCGTAGAAACAGTCGAAGGTGCTATAAAGAAACACAAGGACTTTACCACCACAATGGAGCTGAACCTGCACAGGATCAAAGCTGTGATTGAGGCAGGAGAAAGCCTGATCAGTCAGAACAACATCTACTCCGAGCGCATCAGGGAACGTATCGACACCCTCGCCAGCAGGTACTTAAAAAGTTATGCTATCAAAGCCAAAGGAAGCTCTGGAATAAGATGGGGGTCATTTTCTGGCAGATACTTAAGTTGGTTGATAAAATGGACATATATGTCATTATGTTTGTTTGCATAAATGGACAATTTTCAGCTAAAAAACTGGCTGTCAGGTAACATTATCTAGCTTTTAATGCAGGTAATTTTCCTAAGGTAAGTCTTCAAGGGTCTCATGCTTACACTCTGCACACCATCCTGAGTGCATGTGTCTTAGAAATGTAAGCAGCTGGTAAAACACAACAGTTTGGCAAACAATAGAGCTTAAGCTTTAAAAGCAGAGAGACTCACAACAAGACAAAGAGGCTGACAAAAGGTTCTGTTTGCTCCAAAACCAGACAGTTGACCATGAAATCTGGGTGACAGCTGAGGTTTTGTTATGTTCTTTGCAGGAAAAGAAGGCGGAACAGCTATGAAAATATCTATATGCGTTCTGAATTAGATTTACACAAAGAACCACGCTGCGGGTAAAGTACATGAGCATTTAAGAGTTCTGAATTTGTACAAATCAGATTTATACAGATTTTGCCAGTTTTTTTAATTCTTAAACTAAGATATGCACTGAAAATGGCTCACCCATCCAAAAGACATGTACTGTGTACTAATGAGTTATTGCTATGCCCGCCCATATCAGCCTGTATTAATATTAAATTCAACCAGGCTAAATTGCTTTGACCTAGCCAAGCATGAATTACGAAGCCGTGATATGTCCTTTGTCTATAAAACTATTCTGAACTCACCTCGTGCTCTATGTCTGCATACACCTCATGAAGCTAAACACAGACCTGTACCTGTAAAGCCCCCCCTAAAAAAAGCAGTTTGCACCAATGCTTATGGTGCACTATAGTTGGCCTCTCTTTAGCCCTAAACACCACAGCTCAACAAAACAAAAATATTCCACTTTTTTTTACTACTATTCTATTTAAATCTAAAGTAGAATTTCTGAAAAAACTGTGGACCTGAACAAGCACACATTTTTGGTCCCTCCCCCTTGGTTGCAGTGTGCTATCCACAGCTCTTCCCCCCCACAGTGCAGCCTGCACTGGCTAGTAAACAGATCCACCGAAGACAGCAGATAAACAGCTTTGCCGGAATCATTAGTAGTTAAAAAAACATTAGGTAAATGCATTACTTTGAAGCATTGCTGCACCATATTGGGCCTACGTATAGGGCCACTGTGCTGTTTGGTGACATGGTTTATATAACACTCAACATGGACCAGAGGGAGAGAAGGAAAAAGAAGTCTCATGAGATTAGAAAGAATTCATAAACAGCCACATTGAAAGTACAGGCTATAAAACCATCCCCATGATGTTCCTGTGATTACAGTTGCACATATTATTTGGAAATTTAACATCCTTGGGAATGTAGCCAACATCCCTGGACCTGGACACAGGAGGGAAATGTAGGACAAATCAAAGAGACAGGTAATACTAATGGGAAGAAAAAGCCCAAAGAAACTTTTAAAGAGATTAAAGGTGAAATTTAGGCTCAAGAAATATCAGCGTCAGATCACACTATCCATCATTTGAGCCACAGTGGAATTAAAGGGAGATGACCAAGGAGGACAACATGGATAAAAACAAATCATAAAAAAGCCATACTGAAATTTGCCCGGCTACATTTGGATAAATCACAAAGCTTCTGGAAGAATGTCTTATGAACTCTGAATTTTTGCCAAGGCAAATCAACTCCATGTTCACAAGCTTAAAAAATAAACATATCAAGAAAAGAACACTGTCCATACTGTGGAACATGGAGGAAGCTCTGTTATGTTCCAGGGCTGCTTTGCTTCATCCGGTACAGGCTGTCTTGAACCTTTGCAGAATGGGAGGAAATCTCTAGACTATGAAGCGATTCTAGAGAGAAATGTGATGCCCAGTGTCAGAAAGCTTGGTTTCAATAAGATAATGACCTAAAACACAGCTAAAAACACCAGAAAAGAGGAAGGAAGGAGCTGAAACATGTCATCTGGAAAAGGAGCAGTTTGCTCCTGAGAAGTGGAGCAAAATACCTGCTGGGAGGAGCAGACATCTTATTGACAGTTATAGGAACCTTTTGATTGCAGTGACTGCCTCAAAATAATGTGCAACAAAATACCAGGTAAAGGATACCATCATTTTTGTCCAGGCCTGTTTCATGAGGTCTTTTTTTTTTCTTTTTATCATCCAGTTGACGCGTGGTTGAAAAGCAATGCCTGACTTTTATTTTTTAATTTACATAGAATTTGTATTTATTAATCTTGTCATTATTGTTGGTTTATGTTTTTTTAAAAGAGGGGTACCAGCAACTTTGTCTGTGTATGGATGTTCTAGTCTCCAAATAACTGAAACTCTAAAATGTTTTGTGAAGATATGAATAGTTCTTTTTTTCTTCAGGGGAAACAAGAACAGGGAGCTTGCCCAGCGGTGGCTGGAAAAACTGAATGACCAATGGGAACTTCAAAGATTTCTCCAAGACTGTCATGAGGTAGGAATACTACAGCTGGTAGTATCGGGAATACTTTACCGCAATTTCCATAACAGAAAATCCCCTCACTATCCAGAGGGAGAGGGAAAGAAGTATATAAAGTGTAAGATATGTGGAAAACAAAATACTTGCATCACTGTGTTTAAGTCAAGAAGGAACCTCAGTGACTGGGTTTTGTGGTTGATGGATGGGGGGTGTGGTAGGATCCCTCTTTTAAAGTTTTAAAAGAAGGATGTAGTGTTTAGATTCTAAAGGTGCGGAAAATTCTATTTTATTCCTGCTAATATTGAAGGTTGTTTTATTAAGGAAAAATGTACAAATGAAAGCTTTATGGTTGTTTATTAATTGGGGAGATATGGAGCATAATTAAATTAAAAACAATGTTTAAATGGGGGTTTAAAATACCCTTAAACTGTTTAGGGAGGTGATTGCAGTGGTCCAGTCTAGCTGTTTTCTTCTTTGACAGCTCGCTAAAGTACAGCCATTCCTTCCAGCTGATATGTTTTAGCACAGGGGTAATTAATTAAAAATCAACGGAGTCCGAATAAAGAAAATCATCAACCAGTAAAGGTCCAGAGACATTTTTTATTATAATCTGTTACTTTAAACAGAATTTAACACTGAAATGAAATGCAAGTGTTTATGAATCCATGTTATACATTGAATTTTTAAATAAAAAAAAATATTTTAAATTTTTTTTTTCTATTTTAAAATCTAAAGTGTTTTTTGAAGTAGAGAACAACAATCGTTCAGTTTGGTATATAGACAATTTCCTGATTCACATAAAACACCTGAACTGACCATTTGTTGTTTTTTTTTGTTTTTTTATGGCTTAATGAGAGCAGTGGGCTTTATGCTGCCCTGCAAGGCTTTAAACATGGGTTTGAATGGAGACAAAGCCATTCTAAAGCTCATATCAAGGTGCTCAATTTGAGCCTGGATCCATATTTATTTTTGATTATGTTCATGGTGGAGAATCCTGCTTCACAGCAGAAGGTTGAGCCAAACATACTCAAAGGTCATCTTTGAGCACACCATTTCACTTTTCCATCACCAGTTCACCGCAGTTCTTCCAGCAGTCCACACTTTCCCTTTGATACCTACAGACTGGTCTACTTCATCTCCCTATTAGTTTGGAACTGTCCTCTATTTACCGTCCCCAGCTAGTTAAACACACCCTAGTTGGTTTGCAAATGTGAAAAAAACCAAATGAGCCCATTACCCATAGTGTTGACTTCCCTTTAATGTCTTACTCTTCTTTCTCAAATGTCTACTTGGTGTTTGTATGATGACCTAAGTGTTTTTTTTTTACAGTTGCTGCTATTATATATATATACATTTTTTTCTTTTGTTTTTTATTCTCCTTTATTATTCATTGTTACTTTCTAGATCTTTAGTTTGACAATCTTTTTTCTGTTGGTGTCATGGATTAGTCTTTTTTTCTCCACTGCTCTACTTTAAATATTTAGCTGTTTTGCTCATGAAGCACTTTGTGCAGATAGAGCTGTTGGTGTTATGTGAATAAAAATGATCTTGAAGTATTATCAATAGACTTCCTTAACCTCTTAAAACCTCCTACTTTGAAGTGATCCTTGCCTATTTTGCATACTCAAATGTAAAAGCAAATAACTTAAGAACTGTAAGCTCAAATTACATGTGAGACATCATTTGAAAGCTAACACCTTCCTGTTTCTGAATATAGAAATGGAAGTTGGGTGCGTAAAACACAGCCCAAGCTGCATCAGTTCAAACATGACTCAAAGTTGTTTTTCTTTATTGTAATTTCAGAAAGTTCACTTTTATGTCAGAAAGACAACTTCTGTCTGTTCTTTTAACAGTATGCAATGGCTGCCCTTTGTTTTGTCAATGACTGTTACTCTTGAGGGCCCCCTGCTGGTGTGGCCCCACTGGTTCCCCTTTTACAGCCTGGAGGATCACAGTCTTCTTTTTTGGTCAAGAACTCAACAATTTTTCTTTGTTTAACTCATATAATTAAGCAGCCTGATTACTTATAACTAATTAAAAATAGGGAGTGAATACAGTACTTTACTTTAAATAGCTATCAGCATGTATCAGTCATACAGTAATGCTGCCCCTTGTACTTTAACTATCAGGCAGTCATACGTGAGAAGGCATCACAAAGAGTCATCTGCCCTGTTTGTTAGTGTGACACTGTGTCATTCTGCTGGAGACTTCGACTCTCAATGTACAGGCTGTGTTCTTCTCTCTCTGCTACTGATGCCATCTCTAAAACATGTATACATTTTTAAGTCAGCTCCAAAGGTACATTTGTTTACAGTTCATATTCCTAATTTAATTCTGTTCTCAAATCTTTTATGTAAAATAATAATTAAAAAAATCCGAATCAGCATGATTTGCCAAGATTTTGTGCATAAACTGGGAAAATTTCATATGTTTTAAGTACTCATGGTGTGCAAACATTAAATATAATTAACTGTAGAGAAAGTAAAGTAAAGGATAGAACAGTCATATATGTATGTGTATGTACAGCCAATGTTTTGTGTAAATAAGAGAAAAACAGAAAGGTAGGTTGTTGTGACCTGTATGAGTTCTGGATGGAGGGAATGTCTGCCTTCATGATTCTCATTGAAGTCCTAATAGTTTTCTTTTGTTGTTTTTTTGGCTAAATCAAAGGTTTTCATCCAGTAACTCTTGCTTGAGTAAACATAGGAAATACATAACTGTGAGGAGCATCTGCTCCTTTCTGCTTCTTTTGACCTAAATATTTCTGATCATCAAATTTTAAAAATCTCACTATGATTATTTCATCTGACCTATCTGACCTTTTGTCACAAAATATTTGCCCCCCAAACACAACAACTAATTGTGCGACCGTTGGTGAGATCAGCTGCCATCCAGCATCAGTAACTGGTAATTAAAGTGACAGAAATCATGCAACATCAACTTTTTTAACTTTTAAATGTTTTATAATGCTATTTCTACCTCAAAATCATGCCCAAATTGGTAATTGATTGGTTCATGCTAGGGTTGCACCAAACCCATATAAATAACTGATATCAAAGAAAATTATAAATCAGACATTGATAAAAATAGACCTGATCTGTAAGGGCAAATTCATTATATTTATTAAAGTTAGGTTATGTAAGACTGGAACAGCACAAAAGTTAACCCCTTTATGGATGTTTGTTTGGTTTTATAAATCGATTTAACCTTTATACCTACATATTTGTTTTTTGGGGATAGTTTGTCCCGTTTACTGATTTTATGGCTCCCTTTTCTGACTATGTACTGATCTAAAGTTCAGTTTTGGTTTATATTTGTCTAGATGAATCATACACATCCTACTGGCTTTGGGGAAGGAGCTTATGACAGTTATGATCATAACATTAAAGAAAACAGAGCTCTGGTATTGGAACAGAATCGGGATCTGCATATATCTAAGTTAAAGTATCGGATCAGAAGTCAAACATAGATTGGTGCATCCCTAATTAAAGCACCCCTAAGTAATCCTAGTGAATTGTGCTCACTAAGCAGCAGCCCCTCCCTGTCCTGAAAAAGAGGGGCCATCACTGGTCCAGAGTAACAGTGATTACCTGTCAGAGGTTGATTATTTCTGCTTAAGTTTAGATGACATGACTCTTTCAGCAGTTAATCTTCACAGTGACAGCCACTGTTGTTTTTTAGCCAATGTCTGAGTCATGAAAACATGTTTATTTTGGCTGCAAGAGGTCTCAGACATTGTTCAGCCTACCAAGAGAGGAACCTAATTTCCAGAAGTGCTGTAATGCCATGCTGCAGCTGCTCTGAGGTGGCGTTATTAGTGGCATCCACATGAGAAGAGGAGAAATTGCAGTGAAGGCAAACGTATTTTCCAGGTAAAAAAAAAACAATTATTATTTCTAGGGAAGCACTATCAACAATCTGGTCTGATAAGGATATTACTGTTGTGTCTGATATCCAATATTTACAGATAGTGAATCCTAAATGCATCCTCACCCTTTTGAAACCATGAAAAAACAACCACAGTGCTGAGAGTCACTATCGATCCGTACCATCGTCTCATTATTTCTATCCTTAACTCACTAAAGAATGCTAAACTACATCTTTAAAAAAGTTTTGTATGACTTTTCTGAGACAATTTGATGTTTCTTACATTTTTTCCATTAAACAGCTTGTTTGACATCATCATTGGACATGCTCAGAGCATTCTGGCCAAATATGATTAAACCATGTTTATCTGCATTTTAGTTGTTTCTTTCTTTAGATTATGCACTATTTACCATAAGATTAGCACAAACGGTAAAAAAAAACCCTCAAAAATACTAGATTTATGTTCCTAAATCCTAAGGCAGAAAAGTACCCAGTAGTAGCGTAGGACCCCATTTCCAGTACAGACGAGTGATAAAACAGAAAGGATTTTAAGGCATTTAATTTCTCAGAAAATACATTATTAACCTTTAACACATTCTAGTTTGGAGGAGGGAAAAACGTATTTTAGATATTTTTTACAATTTAAAATTGGGGGCGACCCGGATGTATATATGGTTGCACATGCGCAAATGAGCTGATGGTACAGATCGTGCTACCGGTACCGGTTGCTACACCACTGTCACATGACCAAACAAACGTCACATGACTAATCTACTTCCTTTCCTTTACTGGAATAAAAGCATTAACTGTAATTACTAAATATCAGTCCTCTTTAGTTTTACTTATAAGGTCAGAAATTCTAGCTCTCTCTTCACGAGATGCACCGATCCGTTTTCTTTAATACAATTTAGTATCGATACATAGACTGAGTGTATCGGTCGATTTCTGATACCGATCCAATATTATTGTTGAACCATGCTTGAACATTTTTTAAAAAGCTCTCAAATTATCATGGAATTATTGCTAGCTCTTGTTTGTGCTCTGTGAAATCATGCAATCAGCGTTGCAATCATAACATTTTATTCACCAGATCGCTGTACATGGTATTGGTGTCCATAATTTCAATAAAAATACAGCTAATTATACTCGGATATCCGATTCGAGAATGGGATCAGTGCATCCCTACTCTCTTATTTTCAGATTTATTTTTATTCAGCTTTATTGAAGGGATATTAAATAAAATTTGTCTGTTATTGCTGCAACATTTCAAGTGGATTTGAGATAATTTTGCTTTTATATTACTTCTTTATTGTCCGGGCCTGACAGTAATCAGTCCGGGATCTTAGTTGGGTTACCTGAACCAGAACCAATTCAGAACTCTGCAGTATTTATGCTTTTAAAAAAGGTCTGGATTGGTTCACTGATAAGATAATAATTTTATATATTATTCCTGTGTAACATCAACTTTAGGTTGATGGTCTAAAGCATTAAAAGGTCACAGAAATCCTAATCAGATGGAATCTATTGTGGGGGAACACAAACATGAGTAATTGTATTAAACTCGTCTCTGTGTTTGAGGGTTTGTCAAAATGGGCCTTTTTCATATTTACTGTTTGGATTGAACTTTGAAAACCAACATGATGAGGAAACATGAGTCCTCCTTCGACCTTCCTCCTTTTATCCTCTGCATCCTTTTGTTAAGCACTACTCTATCTCATCCTCTTCAGCCCCTCATCCTCCTATCAGACTGCAAACCTGTGCCTGGTTTGTGCAACCGCTATATGCAGCCATGCACCTACTCCTGTCAGCCTCCAAAGAAGTGAGCCGCCTATTTTCTGCTGTCTGCTTCCCGACATGTCTGCACAGTGCACAGATGGAGTGTGAGAACTCCAAGAAGAGGTGATGATGTGTGAAAACCATCCCCGATTCATAAAAACAGGGAATCTGCTTCTCTTCTGCTCTTTCTCTCTCTTCTATCCTTTCTCTCTGCTTCATCACTGCCGCAGCGTCAGGCGGGCTGGAATCGGAGAGTACAGCTGCAGAGAGAGGGAGACAGCATGCTGGGCAGGAGGAGGGAGATCAAACAAGCAGCTGTAGAGCTGTTTTGAGCTTGAAAACTTTCGAAGAAGCAAGAAAAAATAAATTATTTTGAAAGCCTTTCCCCTGTTAACGCTGTTTATAGCCAGCCTCCTTCCACCCGCCTCCTCTCAACCTCATTAGCCATGACCGGTGAGCCCGGAGGCGTTACCTACATCCCCTGCCCCCAAAAAAATCCAGTCCAGGGCTCCTTGCTCCTCCCACTCCTCTCCTCCCCACCTCCATCTCTCCTCCAAACAGCCCATCATCCCGCTCAATCGCAGAAGGAGTGATGCAAGGGAGGGGCTCCTCTGGGCTCAGTGCCATTTTATTGTTGTTTTTTTGGAGGAGGGTGATTTTTTTTCCCCCTCTTCACTCAGTCATCCTCATGCTCACACTCAATACTGATCCACCCCCATCCCTGCATCCTCTCCTGGTTGGATGAACAGTGAGTCCTCAGCATCATCAGAGCAAGCATCCTTTTCTCCCTCACTGTTATCATTCTTTACCGTTTTCCTCTCAGCTTTGAGTCACCGGCTCGTGTTTGGATCCTTTTCTTTTTTACCTTCTCTCCGCTCCATGATTTCATTCCGCTCAGCCCTGCTTTGAAGCAGCAAGGAAAATCTTTGCATGTGTGTATCTATCGGCAGAAGAGCGAGGATGCTGACATTAGGGGCTGCCTTCAGCTGCCACAACCCCCCGGATTGCTCTCATTAACCACGGCTGGTAAACGAGTTTTCTACTTCCTAGCTGATGAGATGAGAGGAGGAAGGCAGGTTGGAGATAAAGATGGGGCGGGCAGAGATGAGGATGATCAGGGAGACAGCTCATGTTGACCTGAATATATTTCACCCCTTTTTTTCAACATTTTCCTTCATGAATAAAATGTAGAGTTACTCTTACCAGGAGCTGGGGTATCATTGGGTGCCAGGTGGGGGGGGGGGGTGCTTGCTGAGTGGATGGATCTTAAGGTGGGGGGTAATGTAAGCTGGTATGTTGCAGGCACATGTGAATTCCTGCAGCCATGCTTGTTGTGACACGTGTGTCAGCCTACATGTGACTGCTGTGCGTCATTACCAGTTACTTTCTGTCTGACCTTGTATTTCAACCTAAATACTTGTACTTTTTGTGTTAAACAATGTGAGGCAAACATGCAAAATCTGTTTTTGTTTATGATCCCCTGAGAGTTTGTATCTATTCAGCACCAAATATATTCCACAGTCTTAAAAATCTTTTTTTTTTTTTCATGCATCTGCTGGTAAAAAATGCTTTGATGTTTCAGGGAATCATCTTTCCAAACATTGATCACAGCGTTTCTCCAACATTTACACCTCTTTCTGTCTTTTCGCCTCCCTAGCTGGGGGACTGGGTGTACGAGAAGATGCTGATGGCGAGGGACAGCAGTCGCGACGAGACCCAAAAGCTTCATAAGAAATGGCAGAAGCACCAGGCTTTTATGGCCGAGCTGGCCCAGAACAAGGAATGGCTGGATAAGATCGAAAAGGTGAGTGCTGCCTGTTCGGGTTTTTGAGACAATACAGCCTGACTGCCTGGAGCGGGAGGGTTTCTGGGTCACTCTCTTGTTGAGTGCATCTGATGGCTCAGTGAAAGTGCTCTGACTGCAGACTTTGGAACAGTTTTTTGACAGATATTGTGATCGTTTGGACTCTGGCTAGCAAAGAAAACTTCAGGAAATGGAATAGATATATCCCTAAATATTATTTGGATACGTTTTACCTGGAACTAAAAAACACTATTTAAATGTGAGACAATAAACAAATCAATTTAATACATTGGTATCTAAGTATAACTTATGTTGACCGTCTGAAGAGGCTGAAATCAAGGCAAAAGTTAGCATCAATTCCGGCATATCCAGAAGTAATCTGTTTTCAGTTCTGTGTATAGATTGAAAAATGCTTTTGATATGCAATGGACTCCTTAGGTAGGGAAGATTTAAAAAAAATTCCCAAAACAGGCTGTGTTTTTTTTTTTTTTTACTATCATAATCTTTACCTGATAAGGCACGGATGCAGTGGATGCAGAGTTTGTATTATGTGAGACACACACACTGTTTTTCAATGGTAATATTAAAAGTAGAACAGCCCAACCTGGTCCCATGACCAGCCCATATACCCATCATATATTCTCCCTCTGCTTACTGTATAAGCAACTGGACCATGATGTTCTCATTATGCACCTCCAGCTTTAGAATCTGTGGAAGCTTATTTTTCCTTGGCCTATTTGTGAGATAAGATATTTTCAGTGAGCCTTTTCTCTGTCTAAATAGGGGTGATTGTTTAGAAGTTTTGTACCAGTCTGTATGCTGGAGTTTAGTTATATAGGGAGTTAAGAGTGGGGATGACAGAAAGAGACATAAGAATGAGTTCACACAGTCTCCTTCATGCTGTGAATGGGAGACCTGTTCTGAGTGTTTATCTGGCGAAAATGTATGTCCTTGATGAATTGAAATGTTTTTCTTTGGAATAACCAAATGTTCAACTGTGAGAAAGTTCTTTGTGTAGGGGTGGGATAGTTCCAGGGAGCGTGTGTGTGTATTGGGAGTTGCTGTATAAATGTATGTACTGAGTTTGCCCCAGCCAGAGCTCTATCTCTCCATCTGAGGATGTTAAATACATTTGAACATTCTTTTGCAAGAGTCTCAGCTTCTCCTCAACTCCACAAATCCTATTGGCTGCAAGCCTCTAAGTACAATATAATTCTCAGCTCCTTCTTTGACTACATCATAAAAAAGAAAAAAAACTTTTGCCATAGTACAGTATCTCCATCTTCTGTGTTTTCTCCTCAACAGCTGTGGCCATCATACAAACTAAAGCACAGCTTGTTGAACTTAAAGTAATGCCAGAAGTATTGGAGCTCGACCTGATGCGTCTCTTAAAATACTGCCGGTTCTTCATTTTCAACAATAATGATTGTTAACTCTGTATTTTTCCAGATGGTTACTGTCCTGAAATATTGTGCTCTTTAAGCATATTTCACAAAATTATATAACATTATTATTTCCCTGTCTTATCATTTTCATATCCAGATGCTTTAAATTAATTATTTTGTTTTTACACCGAAATGGTGGATTTTCAGATAAATTTGTACACTTTGAAGAGACATCTCCATCCACTATAAGTCAAACTTCCCCTCAGCCTGATGCTGCCACTTCCCTGCTTTACAGTGTTTCTAATATTAATTACAAGAATGGATTATTTAACCTTAAAGATTTAGGAGACGTACATATTTAAGCATGCATATTAGATTCCTACCACCTTAGAAAACCTCCTCAATGACTGAAAACATATTAACCTTACTCTTAAATGAGTTCAACAATCGGTAAAGTTGTACAATTATTCAATCTTTTTAAAAAATTTTTTTTTTTTTCATCAAAACAGCGCAAAAAGTAATGTTTGTAAATGATTTGTGTAAACTTGTGTCATTTTTTTTTTATATTTCCTTATGATAAAACCACATAATGGAAGAAGATAAAATCTAATATGTACTGAAAATAATTTCTTGTTTATAATTTTCGTAAACATTTTTTTTTTATCCCACATTAGATGCTATAAATTGAACATGCCTATCCTTTCCCATCCAGCAAGGGGTACCGCTGCACCCTCCACGCCTCTTCTTCCATTCCTGTGACCCTGTGCTTATTTTTCAGGGACAAAATGGGGGAAAAAAAAGAAATTCTCCTGGGATTTTGGGGTGAGGTAATTAATCTTTGGAATGGATAGCATAAAAAATTAAATTCGCCCTACAATCAAGGGTCACCTCTTCTGCTCCACAGATGCCAAACACATCGGTACACACACACACACACGCACGGACAGCATCAATGTCCTCAGATGAGGAGTACCAAAGAAATGCCTTCATAATTGTGGCACTAATGATTTTACACATCTGGACTGGAGACTGGAGGCTAGATATAGAAACATTGTAATTATATACAACAACAAAGTGCTCTTAAAAATATGTCCTTTTTTCCTTTCTATCCTTCAATATTAGGTTAACTTAGTTGTTTAAGAAAAGATCCACCTGAATAGAGAAATAAGGTTAATGAGATCCAGCTGAATAGGACATAAGAAAAAGGGGATAAATGGAAGTCTATTAACTCTTTGTTTAAGGTTCAAAGGGAAAATTATGATTCCAAGCCATAATTTACGTACCTATCTTTTGTGAAAATTGTGCAAAGATGCTAATAGAGTTACATATGCATTGTTTGAAGGCCAGTCAGACTGTTTTCATTAGTGTTGCACCGATGCCATTTTTACCTGGCTGTGCAGTATTTGCCGATACCGATACCTTCTTTTTGCAATTGATGTGAGAGACTTAGAGACAGATCCATTTTGTATACACAAGTGTAAACAAAAAGAAATTTCGTAAAGAACAGCTCTCCAGACAATTTCTTTTTTTTTTAAGTGCAGCCTTGAAAACAGTAAAATAAAATACATAAAAACAGTAATATAAACACATGACTGTATATTTACAGTTCTAACATTTCAGTTTTTTTGAATTTGTGTGTATATATGAAGAACTGCATACTACTTGGATGTAAAATAATACAAGCTGCTGCCTACCTTTGTGAAGCAGGAAAAAGACTAATACAAAGTTAATCCAGTAGACATTTTATTGCCTACCAGGAATGAGTGACAATAGTTGAATAAACTTCTGGCTCTCAAAATGATATCGATGCCCTATTTGTTGGTACTCGCCGATACCACCATTTTAGTGCTGGATCGGGGCCCTGCCCGATACTGGTATCGGTATCAGTGCAACACTAGTTTTCATGCTGCCTATTTTCACACACTCTGACCCAGTTCTTCCCAGAAACTCAGTAATATATCCAATCTAAAAAAAAAATCAGCGTTTTGATGAAAAAAAAAAAAATACATTTGGCATAAAAAAGATGCTTTTTTTAATTAATTGGGGTGAATTTTGTCTAATTAACTTATCTGATCATCAGATCCTAAATTATGCAGTGATTTAAGATATATCATGTTTAGGACACTTGAATGTTTCCATGATGAACTCAGGAGTAAAACATGTGGAAAAGAGTATGATTACAAAAAAACAGCTCTATTTTAAATGTTTCTTTAAAAGAGGCAGGAGGAGATCAAGCTAAAAGTTTATTTGGATTTTATTATTTGGAAATGTTTTCCTTTTATTCTATAACACACGGGAGAATTTTTTTTATAAAGTTGGTATTTGAAACGGTTAAAGGGTTAGCTGTTATTTTTAATAACTGGTTCCAGTTCCTGCTCATCAGCAGCAGACTGTGATGACCACAGGCTGCCTGGCTTTTTGGCACGCTGACAATGTTTGGCTTCTGAAGTCATATGTGGCAGCCATGTTCACCCTGCATGCCTTCTCCCTGGGGGTTGCTTAGTAACCTGCAAATATAATGCTCTGTAATTTCCTCTATTTATTTGCAGTGTTGATGCAGAACCATACTCTTTCATTTACGAGATAAAAAAAATATTTTGAGTTCTTTGTTTTTTTAAAGTTATATGTTGTTTAGGTTTTTTTGTTGTTCTTTATACATTTCTGACTTTATTACTGATCACACCAATCTGTATTATTATTGTTGTATTAATAATCTTAACATTTATACAGTTGAAGTTCATGCTCTGGGAGCAATTATTTCTTTTAATATGTCAGAACATTTCCAGCTAGATTGTTTTATGATGTTTTTTTTCCTCCTCTATTGAATATTCTGGAGTATTAAGCTATTTACGAAGACAAGCAACTAAGAAACAATAATAAGCACAGATAAATAAAAAAAATATTGCAGGAACTTTAAAAACATACTAAACATCAGATATATGGTGAAACGACAATCAAAAAAGATACCCAAAGCTCAACACCTGTGGTAAATGATACAACAGAAGATACGATAGAAAAAAAATAGCAGACTAAACTGTTTACTAACTTTACTTCAATGCACTTCAATTTAGTTTAATTCACAAGAGATGTCATCTCTAGTTCAACGTTTTCTATCTAATGAAAATCTGGTGATTGCATCGACTTATTGACTCTCTTTAGATTTATGTGTAGCCTTCATGCTAAAAAATAAATTAAAATGTTTATTTTTAAAAACAAGGATTTTACAGAAATAAAGTAATTTCTTATAAATCTATCTGAGCAATTCAGTTCAAAGTTTACGCTGATATGTTTTTCGTTACAGGAAATTTTCTGACATATAAGAGCCTGCATTTGATTATTGCTAATTTAGCCCTCCTAAATATTACTTGATGCTAGTTTACAAGCCTATATTCCTCTAAATGAGAAATATTGTAATATTTTATTATTTAAAGATCTCTTAACTAACAGGAAATCAGTTGTTTACCTATTAAGTTTTAATCCCCTCTAATGGACATGAATGTTGATTTAAAAAAGCACTGAATGTTGGAGGCTGTAAATCATATACGAGTCTTATGTTTACATTTGATCACCATGTTTACATTTTATCACTGCTGTACTTTAAAAATTAAAATGCCT